GAGAGAGCCGGCGGGGCCGGGGTGGTGCAGCGGCAGCGTCGCTGTGTGGGTCCCTGAACTGCCGGGAGATGTAGGGAGCTGTAGTCCCGGCTGGAGGCGGCTCCCGGTGCTGTAGGGAGCTGTAGTCCCGGCTGGAGGCGGCTCCCGGTGCTGTAGGGAGCTGTAGTCCCGGCTGGAGGCGGCTCCCAGTGCGGATGCCGGTGCTGTCGGGAGCTGTAGTCCCGGCTCGGGCGGCTCCCGGTGCTGTAGGGAGCTGTCGTCCCGGCTGGAGGCGGGTCCCACTGCGGCTCCCGGTGCTGTAGGGAGCTGTAGTCCTGGCAGGAGGCGGGTCCCGGTGCTGATCCCGGTGTTGTAGGGAGCTGTAGTCCCGGCTCGGGCGGCTCCCGGTGCTGTAGGGAGCTGTAGTCCCGGCAGCCGCCGCCTACAGCTCCCGGCGGGCCGTGCCCTCGCTGCCGCTGGGACGGGCCGAGATGGCGGCGGCGCGGCTGAGCGGCACCGAGAACCGTCTGGTGTCGCTGCCCCTGTCGCGGATTCGCGTCATCATGAAGAGCTCCCCGGAGGTCTCCAGCATCAACCAGGACGCGCTGTTCCTCACCGCCAAGGCCACGGTACCGGCTCGTCCTGCCCTGCCCTCGGGCCCCCCGCGCCTCCCCGTCCCCGGCTGAGGGCCCTCTGCCTTCGGAGCGGCCCCGGGCCGGGCTCCCGCTTCCCTTCTCTGTCCGCATCCCCAGACGGAGCTGAGTCTAGAATCACAGAATTGTTTGGGTTGGAAGGAACCTTAAAGAACATCTATTTCCAAACCCCTGCCATGGCCAGGGACAGCTTTTACTGTCCCAGGTTGCTCCAAGCTCCGTCCAGCCTGGCCTTGGACGCTTCCAGGGATGCGGCGGCCACAGCTTCTCTGGGCAACCTTGCCAGGGCCTCACCACCCTCAGAGGGAAGAATTTCTTCCTAATATCTGTTCTGAACTTACTCTCTGTCAGTTTGAAGCCATTCCCTCTTGTCTTGTCACTACATACCCTTGTAAATAGTCTCACTCCATCTTTCCTATAGACTCCCTTCAGGTACTGAAATTTAATGAGTCGCTGCACTGAGCACCCAGTGTATGTGCAGTTAAATACAATACTTCTGCCTTTAGATAGGGATCAATGATATGTTTGAATTCTTAGTCTGACTACTGTTAATTTTTGTTTTAATTTTTTAGGAGCTTTTTGTTCAGTATTTGGCTACATACTCCTACAAACACGGCAGAGGGAAGGAGAAGAATGCTCTGACGTACACTGACCTGTCTCATACAGCAGAAGAGTGTGAGACCTTTCAGTTCCTTGCAGGTATTGCTAACACAAGGGTAAATCCAGTGTCTGCTTTGGAAAATGAAATCTTGCTCTTAATGGTCTGTTTTGTGAGGATCCAGTTCTGCTACTGGTCATTGATCTCCTGTTTAGCATTCAACTGGAACTCATAAACTACTTCCCTAGAAACATTTCTTCGTGAATGGGGATTTTTCTGCTGCCTCTAATTTATACAGTTACACTGTATACAGTTCTCAGGATATTGCCTTAAGCATTTCCTAAATTCCAGCAGTTCCATCTGAAAGATCATTGCACATCTTTAGGTGAGAAGTTATGTGGACCAAAAATGACACATAGGAATCTATAAGTTTTGAGAAAAGAAGCTTCATCATATGGTCCCTCTATGCTTCTAGATACAAACACACACACACACATTTTTTACTGATACTTGGATTTTATATTAATGGCTCGTTGGATCTAAGGCAGTTGAGTACTCTGTTCTATATCGAGTAATTTACATCAGCAGACAGTAAAAGTTGCCAGTAATCAGCCATGAAATAGAGTCCTTATCTTTGGTTACTTGTACCATAAGTGGGTAACTCCCTCCTACTCTTACAGCAGTGTGTGAGTCAGGCTGACTTACCTGGTTATTCACCTAAGGTTTGCTAAAAATACTAATATTTCTTTTTGACTTAATTTCTTTAGTGGTTTGGATGCAACAGTATTAGCAAGGCAATGCAAGTATTCAAATTGACAATAAAAGCAACAATTCTGCCTTTCAGACATCTTGCCAAAGAAGATCCTAGCTAGCAAATACCTAAAAATGCTTGAAAAAGAGAAGCGAGATGGAGAAGTGCGGGAAGACGATGATGAGGCTGAGGTGGAAGAGGATGAAGACGAAGCTGTTGGTGACAGTGTTGGATCTTAAGGCCAATGGAGAATTGTTTCATAGTTGATCCATTTTCTATTGTATAAAGGATGTTATTTTTGTGACTGAGAATCCAGATGCTGGATGTATTTTTACACTGAGCCATCTGCTTTTGCTTTAAGAAGTTTAGAAATTGAACTTTATACTCGTTGGAGAATGGAATTCTTCCCTCAGAAACACGGTGGGGTAGGAAGAGAAAGTGCAAACCTGACAGCAGAGCTTGGTCAGATGATCTGAAATTACTTTGTCAGACAATCATTACCCAAATTTAAAATTTCTTTCAGGCAGCTTTCAGTTCAAAAGCTACAAAAGTGGACCAAGTCCATTAACAAAGCCTGTAAAAACAGCCATGTGGGCACCTAAATGGGAGAGGAGGAGATCCATCCCAAGAGCTAATGGTGGTTCTGTAGCTGTGGTGGTAAATGGGGTAGAAAATTATGTAAATATGTGCATCCAGAACCCTTTTCTTGAATGAAGTCCACTTCTGCAGTTCCTCTTGCCAAAATGCACACTGAAGTTTTTTAATTGTGGGTTCTTGAGAAAGAGCAGCTCCTTTACCATGTGAGTGACAGAGATGGATTTGTCATTTGGTTTTGGTTTGCTTTTCTTTTTTACTACAGAAATGGCAACCATCCTGTGTAAAACTTTACATGCAACTTTTTAAAATAAATGTTTTGTATGAAAACTTGACAGTGGATGCAGAAACTTCCTGTAGTTCTTTCCAGTTTCAGTCACACACGTGGTCAGTGTGGCGGTGTCTGAGAGAGAGAAGTGACCAAGATCTGTCCCCAGGGGTGAAAAATGCCTCAGGTAAGCATGGGAATGTTAACAGGTAATAAGAACCTCTCACTCCAGAAAAGCTGGACAGCAAATCAGCCAGGAATTTGTCTCAAGCAACAGCCTAATATGATTAAGAATTAGCAAAACTGAACAGTGAACTGCTTCTCTTGGGTTGAAGGCACAACCACACTCAATTTCTCTGAAAACAGCAGGGAGCTCCAGCATATCCACAATCCAGCACATTCCATATTCTAAGAAAGCCAAATGGAGCTTAGGCAGGTAGAGTCAGGGACTGGCAGAGCTACTGAGCCACACCAGAAATGCTCCTGCTGTTCTAACAATTCAGAGGATGCTGTACTGTAAAGAATTTTCCTGAAGTTGCCATAAATGACAATCATATTGTACCAGGAATTCTGCAGTGAGTGCTGAGTGGGGCTGGATCCCTGGGGAAGTTCTCAAGTGGGTAAAGGCAGAACTAAACCATTGTTCCAAGAGTTGGTTTGTGCCTTTTTTTTTCTTTTTTTTCCTTTTTTTTTTTTAATTAAAAGTGCATGGAGATGGGTAGAAAACAGTGTGGAATGCTGTTTTGGGGGAGGGGGTGTCAGTTTTTTGGGAAAGAAAAAAAAGATCCACCAGCACAAAATTGCACAGTGAATCTCTAGCAGAAACAGGGATGAGGGCAACAAGCAAATACCTGAACCATGGATGGGTCACACCCAAAGAGAGGAACATCCTCAAACAGCCCTGGCAGGGTCTGACCACAGCCCCATCCCCACCCTGGCGAGAGGAGGCAGGAGAGGAAAAGGGACTGGGAAAGGGGTGGAAGGTGTTTTAATTTTTGATTTCGTTTCTCACCATCTAATTCCACCTAATTTGTCAGTAAATTATATCAATTTCCCTCCAGTCACATCTGTTTTGCCCATCACAGCAACTTTTCAGTGACCTCGCTGTCTGTACCTCAACCCTTGAGCTTTTTAGTTCTGTTTTCTCCCTCTGTGCAAACTGCATCATTTCACAGGAGCTTCCTCCAAAGTGACCAAGTATCTTGACCTGTTAAAGGTGTTGTGGGATTTCAGGCAGTGGAACCCAGGCCAGGGGACACTTTTGGGTTAATTATTATTGTTACAGACTTGCTTCTATTCCCCTCCACAACACCAGCTGGTGAGACCCTTCCCCACCCCAGCCAGTGCTGCTCAAAGGACATGAAGTTTCCTGAACTTGCCAAAATGACAAAAGAACTGTGGTTACTAAGTATAAATCACCACATTTCATCCCTCTTACAAGTTTCCTGTGGGATGATGAACATATTCTGTGAATTCCTGAGCCCAGAAGAATGTGCACACCCTTCTGGATTCATTCAGCCAGAATCCTCGATGGGGACTTCAGAGCTGCCAAAATTTGCCACAGCCCTCTCCAAGGCCCTGCAGCTGCCATAGCTCCATGCCATCAAAACAGTGAAGGGTTATTTGTTTTCCCCAAGAGCCTGACACAGAGCAAAACCTCATTGAATTCAAAGTGGTGTTTCAAAACACTAGGGGAAAAAATCAAGGGAAGAGACAGCTCTGACAGGATTTCACATTACTGAGTAAAACCAATCTGTGTGTACAGGGTTGGGCTCCCAAAGGAAGCTCCTTGGCATCCTTGCAATTCTCTTGGATGCTTTATAGTCACCACCAGGTGCTACATTTTCTTCATTTAAAAATTGATCACTGTAGGGAGTCACTCAGAAAGAAAATAAATAATAACAATTTCAGGCATGTGGTTTCCAAAATGTTCATCTTCCCAAAAGAATTCCAGGAGTACAACTTGTAAGCATTTCAAGCAGCATGGAATGTCTGGCTGGGCACAGAGAGGGTGGAAGCACAGGGAAACATCCAAACACAAACAAGGGGAGAAATGCAAAGGAGGGCAATGGATCAGAGATTTTGGCAGAGTCTCACAGTGCACAAGGAACTGCAGAAAATGCCCAAATATTGAATGAAAAGACGTCAGACAATATCTTGTAAAGATGAGGAATTTTATTTTATTGACATACTATGAGGCAAAACAAAATCGACACCATACAAAATAACTTTATAAAATATCATTCACATCATTATTTTGTCAGGAATTACAGCATTCTGAGCTTGTTACAAGTCTTATGTTTTGAGGTGAAAAACACTATGCTAAATCTTTAGTATTAGTTGTATATATACAGTAAGAAACCAGAACAGAACCTGTTAGGTTTTTCATGAGTTTATTGCAAAAGTAGTGCAAACTATTTTACCTTGCAAGCTGTAAAACAAACTTGGAAAAGGACCCACCTAAGCTTAAAAACATGACAATAAATGCTCAATTTCACAGCCTTTGAAGCTTCCTTCAACAGTTCTCAACAAAAATTCCCCATCTCTGCACATTTTTAGATGTTCACTGACTCGGAAATGAAGGAGTAGAGGGTGGACCTGCAGTAGGGAGCAGGCAGAGAGCAGGAGGGTCCTGCTCCAATGTGGGGCACTGCTCTTACCCATGGATTTGGGGAATCACCCTCAAAACACCCACCAGTGGGGCAGGTTTGGTCACTGTGTGCCCCCATTAATCAACTGCTCCTTTCCACATTAGTATTTGAGAAAAGAGTCAAGAAAGCAGAACAAGCCAAAAAAACCCCACAAACCATAATTAAAAATTAGGAACATGTATTGTCTGTTTTAGGAATATAGTATCCTTTTCCTCCTTTTCTGAAGCCTATAAAGCAAATTTCCATGGTCCCCCTCCCCGTGTGTACACACTGCAGGGCGCATCCCACCCCAAACTCCTGCATGATCCCAAGGCAGGATACTACATTCTGCGAGATCCAGAGAAAACAACGGCCTAAAAACACTACTGGGGTCCCCCAAAGCAAACAGGTAGCTAAGTCATCTCCTAAAAAACCAGAAAAGCAAACAAATGCTACATGAAAAATGTTAAAGAAACAAAATGCAGCATATTCAGGCTCTTTTTTTATTTTTTTTATCTTGAGGTACCTATATAAATATTACCTTCTGCCCAAAGTACGATTGGTTTTGTTAAAAAACTAAAGTCCTTATCACGAGCCAATTGCAGGGCAAACATTATTACTGAGAAAGTGCAACCATGCTGATCATTTATCTGCAGCATATTAAAGGATGATTAGGCTTTAGAAAATATAGCTTAAGTCTAGACCTGATGGAGCAGTTTTATAAAAACACTGAACAGAGGCATTTTCCTTTTGCTCGAGTCTCTCTGCAACAGAAAGCCTTAGGAAACATCTGGGAAGTCCTGCCATGATGGAATGCACTTTTACAATCCCATATATAGATTTTTTTTTTCTTTTAATATTTAAACTAAATACAGTTTTACAGCAAAGATTCCCCCTCTGTAGTAGGTACTGGTAAATAGTGGATTTTTTAAAATTTTTTTAAACTTCAAAAAATGATAGCATATCACAACTTAAAGCTTTCCAAAAAGGAATTATTTTTCAGTAAAAAAAGGTTCACATAGTAGAAAAAACTTACACATAGTTGTAAACTGTTACGTACAAAACTGTGGAAAGGTCAGTGATGTTTTATTCCCTCACTCTTACATGTGTATCCCTTCACTTTATATTTATATATACACACATACACACACAAAGTTGTGTGCTATGTGCATATACAGAGACACAGAGATGTAGAGATCTGAGGTCAGGATTAAACATTTCCAAAACCTTCTTTATTGGGTATTTCTCTTTGCCTAGGTCAGCTGTGATACTTGATTTTACAACTTGCTACACCAAAAAATATTTTCAAATTCAGTTTTTTGTGGCGCAGTTAAAAACCATCTGCTGTTTCTAATCAGGAAGATGAGTTTTGATTGTTGTGCACTGGGGGGAAAAAACACAAAGGCACAAAGAATAGAACTCAAATCCAAGATTGTTGTCTCTGAACAAGAAACCCAAGGGTTTGGGCCCTGGATGGGGTCGGTTTGGTCGCCTTTGCCAAATCTCCTTGACAATTTGAGTAATTAGCACCCAACTGGTTACATGAGGTAGATCCAAATTGGAAAAAAAATAAAAGAAAGCTGGGTCCCCAACACTTTTTTTTTTTTTTTTTGCCTCTATTTAAAATGTTTTAAGGATCCTATGTCAGTCATAAGAAGTGGAAGCAATGGCACCTACCCAAAAGCAAGCACGGAATTCAAGAATGGCTTTTTTTGGGATGTAAAATATGAAGTGTTAAATCACAATCCTCCTTCAGGCAGAGATTTGCTGGCAGGGGGAGGGAGGAGAATAGCTCTGACAACAAGGACAACAAAAAGCTGGGATTTGGGAAAGCCTGTTTGGGGTCAGCTGCCAGAGGAATGCCCGAGAGCCTGCGACAGCCAGCACCCAAAGAGGCATCACAGTACAGACAGCTACAGGTGTCCCTTGTTCCTCACGTCAGGAGACTGCCTTGACTAACACTGAAGATCTACAGGAGCATCCTCCTGTCATTAAACAGTATTTTTGCATACTCTGAGAGAGGAATCTGACACATTTATCATTTAGTTAAGGCTTAGTTTAAAGTGGCGTGGCCACACAGCATCACACAAGTGCTCACCTACGGCAAAAAGCGAGAGAAGCAATGGGTGAATTCCACCCCTGTGACCCCCAGCACTGCCAAGTGATGCCACAAGCTCCACGGCAAACCCTGCAGGGCCAGGGATGCCCTGCAGTCAGCTGAGGGCAGTTCTGGGTTTTGCATTACAAGTGCTGCTCTCACCCAGCCAGCACCAATCATTTCTACACTGCAAGCACGAGACAGTTCCACAGAGATGCAACACACACACAACACTACTCAACACACATTTAGTACCACTTGGAACAACCTTAACATCATATCTTTCTTTTTTCCTAAAAAAAAAAAACAAAAAAAAAAACCAGAAAACCAAAAAAACAAACTTTAAATGGTCACAAAAACATTTTGATTGGAGGGAACATTTACAATATGGAGCTTCTGGATTGATTTTTGGTTCTTTTTTTTCGGTTATGTTATAAAAAATAATTTTAAAAGAATTTTTGAAACTATTAAAAGATTAAAACCTTAACAGATAAAAGTCAGTTTATTTTGCAATGTACCAAAATTAAAGCAAAAAAAAAATAGATTTAATCAATACATTCTGTTTTCCATCTTGCCCTCCCAGGATCAAATCAACCACTCCGCTGCACAGAAATCTGGGGCTGGGTCTTTACTTATCAACTGCCCTAAATGTTGAAATATTTGTGATTGTACAATAAAATACTGCAAAAGCCAGGGAAATTGTGTTTGTTATTTCCAGCCAAATACTGTCGTTGTATCTTTTACAGACAGCCTATACACTGTCCCCTGTCCTATCACACGTGTGTGTACACACATAGAAAGGGACACACACAGATCCAAAAAATCTACTAAATTTTACCAACAAATTACAGAAAGGAAGTGGTAACACTCTTCAGGATGGCACAGAACTTTGCCAGATGTAATTCCTCATTGCACCTCATTGAAAATTTGATTTTCCAACATAAATCTAAAGCTTACTCCTTAATGGTTTTTGATGGTTTGTTTGAGTTGGTTTTTTTTCCCTCTTATTTTCTGTAAAATGCAGTTATGAAGCTGTCATCTGTAAATGAGATGAGCAATTGAAGGGCTCAGTCTTTAAGTTTCATGAGAAAATCTATCAGGAACGACAGACTTTGGGTCAAATCCTTATTTTTTAACAGCATAGAAACAGTGCTATAAAACAGGTTTGAGCAGCTCACAGTTGATGCAGAATTAACTTTGGTGAAATCTAGAAACAAAATTCACTGCATGTCACGTTGGTACATGAGAGGTCTGATCCAACCCCCAGCAGCTGAGTTTTGGGGTGCCCATAAAGCCCAGACAGGATCTGCTTTGAGTCAAGTACATATCAGGCAAAAATGTGCAATTTCACAAAAACCAGCATGACTGAAGCTTCCTCTATTCATGGCTTTAAAACCAGGAAAAGCTGATAAATACAGAAAAGAGTCCACATTTTTTTTTTTTTTCTGACAGGAAATCTAACCTAACAAAGCAAACACAAACAGCACCAGCCAGGGGATTAGAGACTCCCAAGCTTGCCTGCTGACCTGTTCACCATTCATGCTTGCCAAGCACACTCAAAAAAATCCCAATAAAATGACTAGAAAAGTTAAAATTTTATTTTGGGGACAACTCCTAGGCTTGCTCCCAGGTCAGACAGCATCTGCAATCCCTTCTGATGAACAGAGAGCAGCTGCTCCAGCAAGTGGTTTAGTTGTGCTTAGAGAAGGGAGGAAGAAAAATAACGAAGTCCATGGTTCGACAGCACATCCAAAATGTGGGGAAAAAAATACAACTAAAACCTGTGCACTCCTGAGAACCCTGTGGAAAGGATTATTCCCTTTGATACAGAACTGTATTCCCTGTATTCCCTTTGATACAGAACTGCCATGCAACCCAAGGCTCCTCAGGGAGCCTCAGGGAGGTTGGCTGGTGGAAGAGCAGCCTCAGGCAGGTTTACAATGGATCTGCTGAGGCAGTGCATGGGCAAATCCCAAGGAATTGCTTTTTTGGAGGATATTTAGGTGGAAGGAAGGAGCAGCCACAGCCTGCATCTGGTACTGTGGGTTTGTAGTGCTGCCACTTGCAGAACTCCCACAATGAACTCCTGCCAAACTCCTGCCAACCTCCTGTCCCTCCAGATCCAGCAGCGCCCCTGGCCCGGCCCCAACCAAGTCAGAGCTCCCAACACCACAAATCGACTCCTGGAGCTCCCTGCCAGCCTTCCCCTTCTGGGACGGGGCCAGCAGATGGGTGCAGGGTGGAGGATTTCTGTGGGGCACTTGCAGAGAAGCCAGAAGGAAAACTAAGAATTAAACTGTCACCTTAACAAGTGCTTAAATTGGCAATTTTGAAGGAAATGTCTCCCCTTGCTTCCTCTCTCATTTCCCCAAGGCTTGGGGTACCCAGGGTTTCTCTTCTCTAGGGCATGAGCAGCACCCAGCATGAAGCTCCTTCACTCCCCAAACTTCCTGATGATCCTGGGTCTGCCTTGTCTGGAAAACACAAAACTCTGCTCCCACCAATGACAGAGGAGCTGTTCTGCACACTGCAAGCCCTGCCAGCAATGGTGTCCACGATCTGCAGTGCACAAAGTAGTGAAACATCTTCCCCAAAGCAGCCATTTACCCTGCACTTCACACTTTTGGGGAAGGCTTTGTTAAATCATGACTGAGAACTGAAACAAACTGACAGGATTTTACCATATTCAGTTATTAATGAGCTGGTTTATAATGGTTTATTCAGTCATTTGCCAGATCTGGGTTCCAGAAAGTCAGGACATAAGCAATCCTCCTGCCATGGATGAGCTTCATCAGAGTCTAGACCCAGAGATTAAGGGAAGGAAATTACAGGGAGCACAGAATCTCAGGAAACTCACTCTGACAGGCCAAAATCCACAGCAGAAAGCCCAGTCACTTGTAAATAAAAATCAACTTTAACACTGCTATGAAACCACATCAGCACACTGTGCTCCAACAGGTATTTCTGTCAGCAGAGTGGTTTGTTCCGAGATGAGGAAGCTTGTTTGGAATAATTGTAAACAAAATCTGATGTATTAACACAGTTCTCTACAGTTTCATTTCAGGTCACTTCAAGTACCCTCAGTCCACGTGCACTGATGTCAAGGTTGAGTTTTGGCCAAGGCTTTGCACAGAACTGACACTAAACAGTCCCAAGATGAACGTACTCAGGTTTGGGTTGTTTTTTGGTGTTTTGGGTTGTTTTTTTCCCCCACATTTTAAAGTTTATCATTTTCTGAGCAGGGAATAAAGTATTTTCATTCTTACAGTCGCATGTCAACTTACCTAAAAAACACATTAAAAAAATAATCCAATACATATTTTTTGCCTCAGACTCAAAATATATTTCAAGCACCTTCATGTCATTTGCAGAGAAAACCTGACGTTTTCTGGCCAACAAGTAAAGTACAGAAACATTTTTCATTTGGAAAACAACAGTATAGAAACTCAAGTGAAGGGACAGGTCACAGAGGGAGCTGCTGCTATGGAGTGACCCTGACCAGAAGCAGATGTGCCAGATGTGCCACTTGCCAGGTCTGGTACCCTCTCAATAAACAGGGATGCCTCTGGAAGACAGAGGGAAGGCTGAGCAGCCACCCAGGATCACAGTATGGCACTGCCACTTCCCAGTAAGGAACAGACCAGCACAAATCCAGTCCCTCTGGGAGCATTTTGGCTGCTTAGTGGGAGGTTCACTTCAATTAATTCTTCCATGAAGGAATACAGGAGGTAGCCTTGAACTGCATCTGCTTTGCAACTAAAGATTCCCGTAAACCCACTTTTGTAGTGATTTGGCCAAGCAATTACATTCAAATTAACACTTCAAAGAAACAACTCTGACAAAGCAACTGAAACACTAAATGGGACTAAACAGGTTCTGTGCCACACCAAGCACACACAGCACCCCCTTCCCATACAATTTGGATTAAACCCTCTCAGAAATGCATCTTTCCAGTCATTAACCCTCAGAAACAGAAGGCAGAACTTGCTGGTTTGCATCCTAGCATCAGCCAGTGGGGCTGGAGTTGGGCTCTGTCCCATCCCTGAGGGTTCTGGAAGCAAAAGGCAATTGCTGATGGATGGATGGGAGATCCATGGGCAGCTCAGAGCACTGAAAGATCCTCTGCAACTCCAACCCCACACCATGCAGGGACAGACAGCAAGACATCATAAGTGGATCCCAAATCCCTGTCATTCCACTAAATTCTGCCACATCCACAGATTCTGCTTCTACAACACAAGAATCAGACAAGCAAGGAAAACCTGGGAGAGCTACACCTGATAATCCAAGTATTACATTAATGCCATCAGTCATCAAACTGATACCAAAACTGGCATCTGAACCTTGCACAGACAATGAGCACAGTGAGAGCTGAAAAACTGCATCTCTGTGGTCTTGGAGAAATGTGCACAGAGGAGAGAAGGAAGAAATGTTTTATAAATTCAGACAAACCCTAAGTATTTCCACTGTAATACAGCAACTGTGCCCTTCTTGGATTGATACCATAATGCACACAAAGTATAACAGCATTTAACAGCAAAGCTCCTACCTCAACACTGGAAAATATGGCAGTATTCTGGAAAATAGAACAAGGAATGGTATCTCCAGCATTTCAGTACTTGCTGTACAGAGCACTATTTACAGTATTTTCAAACAGCTACAGCAGATGCAAAAAAAAAAAAAATCTTACAGTAAAAAGGGAGTTTTAAAAACCCAACAATCAGTGCAATTACCTTCTACTTGAAGTTTTCCTTAAGAAAGATGGCATGTGTGAATCAAGAAGCATGTGACCAGATGGAATATAAAAGTAAAAAACAAAGGACTGCCCTGCATTAGGAATGGGGAAAGCCACAGAAAGAGAGATACTGTGGTAGAAGAGTATTAAAAAACAGGAAAACAAGTGAGTTTAATTACACTGGTCTCAAGTGTGAAAAATACTGAGAACTCTTCTTACATTCGTTTAGTTAATGAGAAAAAGATATATTTAAAAAAAAAGTCCCTTATGGGTTATTTATGCTACCAGAGGTGCTTATTTGACTGAGTATGCTATTTAATCAAAAGCCTTTGGGCACCTACATGAACAACTTTAGTCAGAAAGAAAAACTTAGAAGCATCTTAGAAACTTCAATCTTTTCAGGAAAAAAAACTCCTCACACCTCCTCTCCAGAAGTTTCAATTTGAAAATCCTTGTGGAAAAACCTCTTGTCTTATGTTATAAAAATGATCCAACAAGAACAAGACTCTGTTACAACAAAGGCTGCAGGAATTATTGAGAGAGGCAGAATTAAAGCCAAACCTTCACAACCTTTTTGATTTTACAATCAGGGAATGCTGCCTGGGGGCCTGGATGGAGATCAAAGGTATTTGTTACCTGACAGATCAAGAAACAAGGGAATTCCTGTGCCAAAGCCTCTGGAACGTGGAAGATTATTGATTGTAATTCACAAAGTCAAATATTCTAAAGCAAGCCAAGCCAAAATAAGGAGCTCTAACAAAACAAGTGACCTCACTCTGTACATCAGTGCATACACACATGTGTTAAATTGCATAGGGCTGTCTTAAATGCCACATAAAGGCAGAGACAAATCCACCTCCTTCCAGCATTTCCCAACAGGACATTTGCTCCTAAGGATCAGCTCAGTTGTTTCCTGGGGGCTGGAACAGATGGAGTGGACTGGTTACTCTGTTCAGCCACTGCAGCAGAAACTTCCACCACCAAGCAAACCTCATAATTGCATTAGATTTTGTACATCAGGGGAAAAAAAGACAAACTTTTAATTATTTTGTGTATTTTGATAGCACTTGTCACCTCCCAAGAGGAGCATTTCACACTTGCTGATGCTGTTTTGGGGGGGCTGTGCAATGAGACTCCTTTGCACAGGCTGGAAAATGCCCCAAGTGCCTGAGGGTGGCACAAATTTGGTTATTGCTGACCTGACCTGCACAGTGACCCAGGCTCAGAGCTGTGACCTCAGCTGGCACTTCTCCACCAGCAGCCTGGGGGAGACTGAGACTTCTTGAGCTTTGTGCTGACCTGAGATGTTGCTGTTCTACACCAGACATGTGGGAGGTGCAGAATAAAAAGTAATTCTAGGATTTTATGTGTTTGTGGCAGGCTTTTTTTTGGACAGGAGACATTCCTGAATATGTAATTTATGTTAAAAATATTCCCAGGAAGGGAGGTGCTGGATTGCCAGCATACTGTACTTTACAAAGTATATATCTAATCAGTATTTTTTTAAATGCTTTAAATTATTCACTAATTCACCACTGGTGGAAGGGAAAAGGAGGGAGACACAAGTGAAACATGAGGGTTAGAAATTAATTTGCCCATCACCAAATAAATACAGACCTACTTTACAACTTTACCAGTTGTGGAGTCTTTCTGTGAATCACAAGGCATAAAGAATTAGCAGTATTAGAGGCTTAGAAAGATCTGTAAAAGCTAAAAATGTCCTGAAATGCACATAAACATCCCAAGTTCTTCATACTTAGGGAAGGAAAGCTACATAATTTCTGCTCATTCCAAGAGGATGCACAAACAACAGCTACTGTCAGACTAAGGGCCTGCCTAAAACTCCTTTTCTCACAAAGGAAACATTTTAAATAGGATGCAGTGCAGTCACAGGCTGCTTCAGAAATGAGATTTGAGGTCAAGACAGATCCTGCCCTCCTCACCCCATCTGACCACCTGTACAATTCCACTGTCCCAGATCTGCATGGAAGGAGGGGGATGAATTTCACATCCAAGAGGTCTCTGCATAACAGACAGCAAATAAGTTAAATGATGTCTTAAAATGGATGATCTTTATCCTATTTGATAAGAAGAATTCATATAAAAATAATTCTTATATAAAACTCTGCCAAATGAATATCTTCACTGAAATAGGAAAGCTCTGAAGGAAACACAGAGAAGTGCAACACACCCACCACGGGGAGGATCTGCAGCTTAGGGGTGCTTGAGGGGAGGTAGGTACAACCTCGCTGGCACACAGCAAGACAGACAATGCTACCTAGGATTTGCTTCAAATTTACAGAAATCTGAATTTATAGAACTATGACCAAGAAGATACTCTGAGCCAGCAGCCTAATCACCCAATTAGAATAGTACAAATATGATTATTTCATTAACAGGTTTTACATTTCACCTACAAAACACCGACAACCTTCACACTGCTACAAGGTGAAGATCTGGACTGGAATTATGTACCTAAAAGTCTTTATGCAGCAAAGGCTGGGCATTTTCTAGCTTATCCAACACCACCTGGTTGCAGCTGACCTGCTCTGTGGCCCAGAGCTCTGCATGGGTTAAAGCTACTTGCCCATCCCAGTGGCCAGAGGTAAAAGTGTCCAAAGAGACTGAGCAGCTGCTCGGAGAAAAGGGAAAAGACAAAGCAAAATCCATCAGTGGAGGAGAATGAAGGTTTTCCAACCTGCCTCTCAGCATCTTATTTCAGTTATCCCATGGAAAAACAAACAAGATCAAGTCAGCATAAACAACTTTCCTGGGCTTTTTCCATTTTCTCCTAAACCTGCTCGTGGCATTGTCATTAGTGCAATGGTTTACATGTGTGTTATGGTTTTTATGAATCCAGTGTGCAAACTAACAGAAGCATCTGTCTCATAATTAGCAGTTTTAATTAATGCTTCTCCTAAGAGAATGGCAAAACTCTCACATTTCCTACAGATCTTATGCATAATGAAGAGAGCTTCACCTCCCTCCCTAAGTAAACTTCAATCTCCTAATTTTTATCTTTACTGCATAGATTCTCTGACTTCTGCCTAACTTCCAGCGAGCCACTCTCCTCTAGCAGAGCTCCTGCTTCACCACTACTCAACATATAAATAAAATACAATTGTTTTGTGCTTGAATGAATGTAGGATGTTGGTCTTGTGTGCGTCTGAACCGCAGAGGTAAAACCTGCTGTGTTGTGTGCACATTGAAAAAGCCTTTCTGCAAATCCCAAGCTACAACAGACACTGGCTGCATCTCTCTCCTCTCACCACATCGATTGCATATTTTCTTTTTTTTTTGCATTTGAAGAGTAATGTCCCCACAAAAAGGATTTTACTTTCTAAGTTCAAAGCATTCTTGATATGTTAACAGAAGTATAATGAGCACTCCTTAGTAAATAAAAATAAATAATAGCATCTAGTCTATCACATTAATACTGTGAAACATATATAAAATTTACATTAACTCAACAGTGAAAAAGGATTGTACTGTATTCATCACCACAGACCCGTATTCTTTAGAGACTTTGGAAAGTAAATGTCACAGTCCTGTATGACAAATCCTAAAGTTAGCTGTCAGTATGATTTAAAAAAAAATCTTTACAAATTTTTTTAAATGGCACATTTTCTTCTGCCAATCTAACTGGAGCTATTAAAAGCTTAAGTACAGGTTTACTCTCTTTTTTTTTTTTTAAATTCATCTTTAGTCTATGAAAAACATTTTAAAATGCAGCACAATAAAAAACATTCAAGAACAAGCTTCAGAAAATACATTTGTCCTTAGACACACAGAGAATAATCTGAGAATAATCTTTATAAGACAATTAGAAACCAGAATTTTGTCACGCTCTTATTTTGAAAATAAAAATTTTGTAAATGCATCTAGAATAGTCAAGGCTTCATAAATACTCAAAAGATGATTTGCTTTCCTTTGTACTAAAAGCTGATTCACAGCGTTTTAGCTCATCAAACCTTAGTATGAATTAGATCTTTCCAAATTATCAAAAGCAACTCAATGAACAGCAAACTGAATGAGGAGTTTTGTGGGTTGAGTTGTTGGTTTGGTTTTTTTGTTTTTCTTCCCTAAGCCCTGAGATTGCAGCTCTTGATTTAATTATAAAATCTGGGTCTGTTTTATACCAAGCAGCTCAGAGATTTTTTGGCAAACCACATTTCCGACAACAGTGGGGTTTGGTACAAGAATGCAGTTTGTGATCAAGTCTGAAATTCTGGACGGAAGGCTTCCTTGCAAATGGGAAAGAAAGGAATAAAGATGCATCACTCATTGCTGGCTGTCCCTGGGGTGGGGCATCTGTTGGTCTAAGTGCAGCTGGTCTGGTGTGAATCCAACTCTGCCTTGTCGGGAGCCGCTGAACATTAAAACATGTCAAGCAAAGTACATCGTGCGCAGCGTGTCCTGGTGCACCTGGACTGCCTTAGCAAGTGCTTGGTGGTCTCTGCCATTGCTCTGGCCAGAAGTGTGGCTTCCTTCAGCACTGAAAGAGAAGGGAGGGGGGAAAACGAAAACCAACAGGTTGGGGGGGAAGAGAAACCCGATTTAATCTGCCTCTCCTGGCACGTGTTTCTGCATTGTTAGTTTTTTCTGAACGGAATGGTCAAACATTATTTACCCTTAAAGCACCACTGAGGTTCTGAAACAGAAAACAGCACGTACAGGAACATCTTCTGCTTTGTTTCAGCAGCAAAATTCAGCAGCGAGAGCAAACCCACCCTCAAACTGCTGAGGACGCCACTGATCCCAGAATTAACAAGCCCCACTGGCATCTAATTCTGCAAAACTGCAGAACTCTGAACTCACCTATCGTGTTCTTTATCCACCAGATGGTACCTGGCTCTGAAGGCCACCAGGTGAGCGTAGTAGGCCGGGGCAGGGATGGAGACGGAGCGCGTGCAGCGCACGTAGGTGTGGCACAGCTGGTAGGTGAGGATCTGCAGCTCGTCCGACGAGAAGCGATTGTCGTCCCACAGCACGTGGTAGTGAGAAGGTCTGCTTGTTCCCTGGAGCCAGACCACACAGCTCATCAGCACTCCCAAACATCTCCTGAGCTTCCACCTCTGCTGGGAACTGCAGTGAAGTGGCTGCTTCCTCAAAAACCACGGGCAGCAGTTCTACACATTGCAGCTAGTTTTTCCTTTAAAAGGCAAACAACCTCCTCCTTGCTGCCTATCAAACTAATCCCTTCCCTTTTTTTGACAGGACTGTGTTTCTCAAAATTTCACCTCTGAAATGAAATGATCATACTGAAACGCACTTTCATCTTGAAAACCTCAGATCTGACAAAAAGCTTTGGTACAAACATGAACAGTTAAAGAGTTACCATGCCACACAAAATGTCTTACCTGAATCCCAGCATGACTACACAGGTAGAAGTCGAACTCCGAGGGGTGGGTGATTTTTGTGTCCACTGTGGTACCAGCTGGAATGTTTCCACTTTTTCCAACCTGTGTAAACAGGAAATGCAAAGAGACTGAGACACAACACAAAGGGTTTTTTATTTTCAACTGTGTAGCCAGGAAAACAAACACAAGAAAAAGATCTATAAAAAGCAGAAAGTGAAGAAAGAATATGCAAAACTGAAATTTTGTTCCAACTGAAAATCTGCAGTGTCGCTACCATGGAGAAAGAAAAAAAAAAAAAAAGCTGCAAAATCTTCTTAGAAATTACCTAAAAAGATTTGGTTTTCTGAATAACGTAAAAAGAATTTCCTGCAACTGAGTTGTCAAATTCTTTTCACCTTCCCACTCCAGGACAGGAGTAACTTTTTCTGTTTATACCTGCAAGGGGACAATCCTTCCTTGTCAGACAGGCCACCTCTTTCCTCAAAATCTCTTCAAAGCACAATGTCAAAATACTCTTTACTTTCAAACAATTTAACATCTGTAACCACAGCATTTATTAATATAACCACCACCTTCATGTCAGCTTTGGGAGTTACTAACTCCCACAGAGAAGCCTGACAGAAGGAAAAAGAACATGGAAAGCTCAGTCTGTAAGCAGAGCTTTGCCATGAGGAACGCTCCATTCTCAGCAGCTGTTCCATAAGGAACAGCTCCATTCCTGCTCTTAGGGAGTCTCCTCTTCACACAGAAAGTACCAAAAATCAACCTGGGGAGTCTGGTGTCCACCCAGAAAGTACCACAAATGAACAGGCATTGGTGACTTGGCTGCCTGCTGGAGCTTTGGGGTCCCCAGCAGAACGTACCCGTTCGTTTTTATCCGTGCAGAAGAGTCTGGTGTGGTGCCTCTTCTGCACCACTATAAATGTGATGCCAGGCTGATAATCCTTCTCCAGTTTAATGCAAGCCTCCCTGATAGCCAGCAGCTCGTGGTGGAGAACCTGAGCCACAGAGAGAGAGAGAGATGTAATCAACATGAACCACTGCCATCAGACAAATTCCTCTTGTTTATCTACAGATGTCTTTATTTATCCACAGATAATTTATCATGCTCCTTCTTGCACTGTCACTCAGAGTAGTGAGATGTCAAAGCTTTCAGGAGCAAATTTTTATTTCTTCGCCTGTTTCCTCAGCAGTTTCCTGAGCCAGGAGAGAGCTGCTTCCATATTTTTTCAGCTCCAAGCACAAGGCTCAGACTAATAACCTGCATGTCAAAATCTTTTTAACTACCAAATACAAATGAACATTTAATTAGGCTGCTGAATACAACAGACTAATTATTTTTCAGACTAGAACAAGGGATAAAACCCAGAAGTGCTCAGCTGTTCTTTCCCAGCTCTGTGCAGTCCCATGCAGGACTACAGACATCAATAACAAGGAAAGTGGAACAAACCAAAAAGCAATTATTTAGACTGTGGGCTAATTGTACATGAAAAATTCAGTGAAAACCAATGACAATTGAAAAGAGAGTATATCAAAAGTTCATACAAAAATTACTTTATCAATTCAAGTTTAGCAAGTGTCCTTTCCTCTCTTCCCCCTGAATTTTGAGAAGCTGACTCAATTCTGTATCTTCTATTTACATATGTAAATACTGGAAAGAAAAGTGTTTATAAACATCTTTAAAACATATAGAAAAATATTCCATAAAATATGGTACTAGCAAGTAAACAAAATAAATATGACAAAGGATCTGATGAGTTTTATCAGAATACAAATTAATAAATACTGATCCAGTACTTATTAATTCTCTTTTAAAAAACCAACAATTTTTCTTTACTGCCCAAGTTCTATGGGATACAGTCTGACTAATATAACCTAAATAGGAAACAGATGTGGAAAATAACTTGAGTCCTAAAACTACACTTTTCACTTATAATTCTGTCAGGGAAAATATTTTAAAGGGGAAAAGTACTTTCAAAAGTACATGAAAAGTATGCAAACACTTCTCCTGCTTGCTTGGTTAGAATCCAACAAATTTGTTGAGGGAAGATTTGTTGAGGTTATACTTCTTGTAACTCCAACCACACAGAGGTGGAATTTTAAAATTCAATTACAACCACAAAACTACAGTATCAGAATTTCAAGAAGAAAAATATCACCTGTTGGAACTGCCCCTCAGAAACACCATCCCTGTAGAAGATGATTCGAGTTGGTTTGAACCTGGTGGATTTGTAGAACTGGATCAGCAGCTCCCTGACCATGGCAGCCAAGTCCTGGATGATCTCCTGGCGGTGCTGCTGCACCCGCACAGTGGCACAGTAACGGTTGGGATGAGCATCCATGCTTCCTACAACCTGGAAAAAATGCTTGGCATCAAACCAGAGAGCACTTAAATAAAGGTTATTTCATGGGAAAACTTCACTGTCTTGCACACTGAGTGGTTGGCCTGGCAAAGATGTATTTGAAATTAAAATGAGCTTGGAAACAGCTCTGGGTTTAGTCCAGCTGTGGCAGCACACCCTGCTGAAAGAGAAAACTTGATTTAAATCTAAAAGACTCATTTCCTGTTTGCACCTACAGGCACTTAAAAACTCAAATACAGTCTGGAGCACTGATACCATGAAACCATTAAGATGGTTCAGACTGCTGCATAGGAGTTGGAACTCCGGGACACCAAGCCTGTGTTTTGGATCCATCAAACTGAAATGGTGATGGATCACAGAAACATCCACACCCTTTATCAAGGGAAGGAATTTTTCTGTTAATTAAACATTAACATCCATATCCTGTAAAAGTGGCATAGGACTTAAAAATAAACAAACAAAAAAACCTAAAGAAGTGAGCACATCTCCACCTGGTTTTCCCTGGACACACAGGTGTAACTTTTCAGAACAGATACATAACATCATCAAAGAACTTCATTATTAAACAGTCCTGAGCAACCACTACAGGTGTTTGACATAACACAAGCTAAAGACCATTCCCTGTATTTAAGAAGTACATTTCCAAGAGATTACTGCACATTTCGTGTTTTCTGGAAGCTGAGCCAGCCTAGTTCCCTATCAGCAATGAAGAAATTCTGAACATTTCTAAGTGCTGAAGAAGCAGATTCAAACATGCACCAGCTCATTATCAGGCTGCTAATAAATATCAGCTCCCAGAAAAGCTCCTCTGTGTATCAGCAACTCAGGCATTTTACAAGCTAATACACACATTTAAGTAATTAGCATCAGAGCAAGCTCTCTGAAGTTTCAATAAATTCCTGCAGAAAAATAATTTATAATGCTATAATTAGGCAATCAGAAGCAATGGACCACAAAAGGATTGAAAGCAATAAAGTGAATTAGAGCTGAGCAGCAGGAGGGAGCTGGGGGGAAAGAGCAGGACACAATTTACTCACTGCAGCAATGGAAGGCTTTTTCCCATCCCCAGCTGGTGGGTGAGTTACATCTGCACCAAGGAATATGACAGGCTGTTGGAATACAGGGGGTCTGGCAAAGAGAAAGGAAATTTGTAAAAGCAGCGAGATTTATGCTTAATAAAGTACATTAAAACTCAAATAAACAGCCTCTGTACTCCTCCAGTGAATTTATCAATAACTGGCACTTGATCAGAGTTGGTCACTTGTTCTGTGGCAGTAATTAAAAATCATGATTAAGGTTCTCATGCTAAATACTTAGGCAGGTTTTTAAAGCACAGCTAATTGTTGCTCTTAATTAAAAATTAGTTTTAAAATATCTCTAGTTTTTCTAACTTGAAGAATTGCAGTTTTTATCAGCTGGACCAAAGAAAGGAGTAAAAGTTGATCCCTTAGTAACAAATGACATCTGAGAAAATTAAGTAACTGTGCACATATGCAGATGCTGTGAAAAAATATATTTTTCCTAATAACAAACAGTCTTGCTAAGGAAGTCATAAAACAGTAGGTATCAAAGTTATTATTTCCAAAGTAGATTTTTTTTTAAAACCAAGCTTGAAAGTTTTAAACAAATCTTTGGGTTAAGATATTAAACCACTGCACCAGGAGAGGAACACCAAAGCACTTCAACACAGGTTTTCAACTTCTACTCTATTCCTTAATAAAACAATTTCAAACAGGAAATATTGGGCCACCATAATTTCTTTGTGGGGGAATGATTTAATGGTTATGGAGATAAATTAATCTGTTTGCAGACCTTCTTTAAAAGAAATTGGAAGGTAATGCTGGGGATTAGGCTTTTTTTTGGGTTCTTTTTTTTCTCTCTCAGGGAATTTTCTTCCCATTTATTCCCTAAGAGATAATGAATGGACTGTACTTAAAAACAAAAAAAAATAGCTGGGTGTCTTGGAATTCTGTTAATTTGTTGTTGTTGTTTGGGTTTTGTTATTGCTGCTATTGTTGCTTTTTTGTCTACATATATATATATATATGTGCATTCTAGTAAAAAACTGTTATTCCTTTACCCACATCTTTGCCTGAAAACCCCCAAATTTACAATAATTTAGAGGGAGGGAGCCATCTTTTCCATTCCAGGAAGATTCCCACCTTCCTTGGCAGACACCTGTCTCCTAACCCAGCAGTTCTTGGTGCCCAATGTTGGGCCTCAGGGCACTGAGAGGAAATGGTGAAAAGGGAATAAGAGTTTCTGGCTAACCTAATTTTGTGTGCTGAACACAGAAACCTCCTCTGGCACCATGTGGTCTGACTTACCCTGGTTTGGCTGGCACATGGTTGTGGCTACATTTTGTGCTCCCATTTGCAGCTCATCTAAACATGGATCCTAGGACTAAGGCTACTGTGGCTGTTATCCAGTTTGCACAACAGATCAATAAGGTGAGCAAATCCTGGATTTTAAGCTTTCTCTGGAATGTGGACACATGGCTGTACAACTATGACAGGCTAAGTTCATGTCTGTGGGGTTTCATTAATAATGGTGCCCATTGTGAGGAAGCAATACAGGGGGAGTTTATCCCCAATCCTTCATCCATTTCTTTGGATGTACCCCAGCACCTTCCAAAGGGTTCAAATTTTTTTCTAGATGCTGATATCATACAATGGCTGCTGTTGCTGATAGGCCTAATCTATTTAGCATTTAGAGATAAGGTGGGACTGTCCTGGGTAACCACCCTGACATCTCCCCCAGAGAACAGGGATGGTGCCCCACAGCCTGACCCTGCCCCACTGCCCATCTCAGGAATGAAGCACCCAGACTGGATGGGGGTCTGCAAGGAGACAGGCTGGGTGCTGAGGGAATACTGCTCCCCAGCTGGTGGGAAGCCCCCTCTCTCCCTGCCTCAAAGAGGGAAAGTCTGATGGTGCAGCCATGGAACCAGAGACATTCCAGCTGTCCAGGCTCCAGCTGAACCATCCCTGAGCCAGGACACAGGTATTGATCAGGTGTTTGTGAGGGAGCCAGGGTCCCTTCTTGTCTGGGAGCAGCTTTTAATGAGTGTTAAGAGAGAGGATTGTTCAGAGACAGAATGCAGGATCACCACCACAGAATGCCCTGGCAGACCACTGAGGATGGGATCCAACAGCTGAGAGAAGTGCCAGTACTGGAGGTACTTTCTGGGAGGGATGGACAGCACAGTAACAACCCTGACAAGGTCAGGTGCAAGGGCAAATGTTGTAAGCCTGGCACATCCAGGGCCACCCCAGTACTCCAGCTTCATGGCAACACTGAATGGGGAGGAAACCTGAGAGACAGTGGGTTCCACAGCCAGCAAACTCAGGAATTTTGAGAGCACAGTCCATAGCCCAATGCAGGCTCCCATCCTCACTGTGGTTAGGAGTCTCAAAGAGAAGAATGTTGACCAAAAGAAAAGGCACTACTGTTCTAGGTGGTCTCTATTTGTTTTTGAAAACTCAGGGCAAATAGAATATTAGAGATTTTTCATTCTAGTGACAGTTGTACTTCAGTGGTCAGACATCATTCAAACAATACTTTTACTATAAATTTCAACAGAAACCAGATTCCTCTCCTGTCTTCATAACCTAACTTTTGCAGGACTATTTATTAGAAGCCAAGAGAGTTTGTCTGAAGAGTCACTTAAGCTACAGTGCTATGGCTGCAGATAAAAGCTCCCAGTTATCTCAGCATGTCTCACATTCTCTTTGCAATACAAAAACCTCTTCCCCATTGAAAAATGAACTTACCTTCCCTGTGGCAGTAGAATATTATTTACACCTCCTAATTTGACATTTATTTTTAAGCAAAGGTTGGACAGAGTTTGTGGTGTTGTTCTTTGGACGTTTTTCATCTGCACACACTGAGTGGCCATTCCCAGCACCGTGTCACCAACGCGCTTCACCTCCGCTGCAGAATGAGAAAAACAAAAAAAAAAGATTTGCAAATTGCAAATCAAACCACGCAGGAGACTTGAATTCAGTGCCAATTAACTACACCTGGAGTTTTAGCAAAGTGGTGCTCAGCTTAAAGGAGCACAATGAAACCTATCCCCCAAACCCACCCAGCCTCCAGAACCTCCCCCAGTTCTGCTCTGCTCCACCTAACCAGGTCCTAAATGCAATAACTAAAGGCACTGTTGGCTTATATTAACTAAGATTTTTAAAATTAATTCTTATTTTACAATTGTAGCATTATATCATCAGCTTTGGCTAATGATGTGGGCAGTGTGGATAATATTAGGATATTGAGCACTTGTTGCATTATTAAACACTGGAACAGTAACACAAACCCAGCAGTAAAGGGCTGAGCAATATTCAGCCAAGCAGTTTATCAGTTCTTCACTGCAAGTTTATCACTTGCATAGAAAAGCGGCCAGCTTAGCAGACAATGGTGCATAAAAACTCCAAGAAACTCACTAAGTACTGTACAATTCCAAAGGTTAAATCAAATCCTATTGTTAACAACAAAATCGAGACTTTTAGAGATCCACATACTCTTACACTCAGGGAAGAAATTTAGACTCCAAGACTGGCTCAGAAAAGATGAACCCCCTTTTTGGCAACAGGAGAGGGTGGGAAGAAAAGACAAGACTGTGGATAAAGAAATGCAGGGTATGGAAGAGCGTAGGGAGAAAATAAGGAGAAATGATTAGAGGGGGCAGAAATAACTATAATTAAAGATAATGACAAAGAAAGACAATCAGAGTGGTACCACATCCTCTCAGTGGTTAAGCAGAGGAAAAGAATTCCCTTTTAATGCCAAACAGGAACAGTAAAAATGTCATTTTGCACTGAATTCCTATTGTACAAATTAGAGATCAGCCACCTCCTTTGCAGGCTGAATTCAAGGGTGGGGGGAAAAAGTACTGCTTCCTTAAGGTTCCTTGCTTAATCTCTTTTCATCTTGTAAGAGATTAATATTAAAGATGGAAATTTATTTTGTGCTATATTAACATGGTGAGGGATGGGATAAAACAAATCTGCAGCTGCTTGGTAGATCTGATCCACCAGAGAAAAGTCCAGGTAGCTATGGGAGAAAAACAGTGGCTGCTGCTCCAGCTGGGCAAGGTAAGTGAAAAATGAGGGAGACAGGACAGGAAAAAAAGCAGTCCTGCCTTTAGGAAGAGCTGGAAAATGTATGGTTTATGTAAAACATACTAAAACCCATGTGTGTATGCCATGTAAAATGCACCAACTGTCAGTGTTTCCAAAAAAACATTTAGGTTGCTGAATTTTCACTTTCTGTGCACCCCTATCCTTGCAACCCAAGTTAAAAAATTAAAATTCAAAGAAAAATAGGCAGAAATCTCTTACACTCAACATTTTTTGCCAAAGGGAGATTGTTTGAGTAAGCAAAGCTGTTCTAAAAGGTACAGAGTTCTTGAAGTCATTACTTCTTCAGTCACTTGGAATTTTCAGCACACAAGTTTTATTAATTGTATTATAATCCACTGGCTATCCATGTCAATCTCACCAAACCCTGTGTTGCCTTTCTCAAATGCAACCAGCAGGGAGAATGGGAAAATAACAAATTAAAAGCATAGAGAACATACTGAAAACAATTAGGCCTTAATATAAAAAAACCAGCACAAGAAAAATAACAAAATTGATTTACAGCCCAAAATTAATTCCAGCCCTAACTGGAATTTATAGAGTTAAACCAGCATTAAACCTCTCACAAAAAACACACAAAACTGTGACTGAAATGCACCATTTCCACTCACTGACCATAGACTGGTGTTTTTCCTGGCAAAATGACCACGACAAGCTGCAGCCCAGTGTAAGTGTTCTTGAGGTGTCTGAACATGGGCTCCACACTGTCGGCTCCCTGGGCGTATTTACAGAAGCAGGGCTGCCCCTGGATTGGCATTCCAGCATCCCTGGAAATCTTCCTCAGCTGCTCTGTGAAGGACCTGGGCAAAGCACATAAATATATTACATTATCAGGTAGTCAAAGCCCATCTTGATTTTTGATCTTATTTTTGATGGAACAATCCTGTTAAACTTGCAGAATTGTGCTGTCCAAAAAGCTGGGAATTTAACCCCATGTGCATCTTTAATTGACAATGCCTGTGTAGTCACTGAAGACAAGACATGAAATATGCTGTATAAATAACACCATTAATAAAAAAACCTCATTTCCAAAGCAAATTCTACCTTATTTCTATGGGAAATACAGGATAAAATACTTTTTGCAATAATGACAATTTGGCATAGCCTGCTCTAACATAATTCCATGTTACCACCACAAAAAGGGCTGGAGTTACTCCTTTTTTTCCTCATGATGAAAGCAACCAACAGAAATTACCAGCAATTGTCTCAGTGAATTGCTTTAGCATCCATAATAATGCACAATGTCATAGATAGCAGAGAAAATGTGTGTCCTGGAGGTGAAGGCAAACCTTCTCCTAGGCTGGTGAAGAAAAAGTCACCCTTTGATGGAAGTGGTTGGATATGGACACAACCTAATTTCTTCAGAGGCTTCCACCTGAAAGCCTTTTTACCCCACTGATAAGAGCCCTTTTTGTTAAGTTGGAGTGGATACCCCCCTCCAGTTGTCTAAAACATTGCTCATCTCCACCACAGGGTGCCGGGGTACCACTGACTGAGAGGGTGTGAGATTTAGCTTCTTCCAAACCTGTTGTTAACTTGCATGAATCATAACAGCCTGTGAGCTTCAGCCCTGAGGCTCCTTGCAGAAAATGGCTGTTTCCTCTGGAAAACAAGCACCCACTACAGCAGAGTCAGTGGCAGAACATCTCCCCATCCCTGGAAGTGTTCAAGGCCAGGCTGGATGAGGCTTGGAGCAACCTGGTCTAGGGGAAGGTGTCCCTGCCCATGGCAGAGGGGTTGGAACAAGATGATCTTCCAACCCAAACCCTTCTGTGATTTCAACATTCAAGTCTGAAAAAAGTCAGGGTTTGAGCCTTTTTAAGCCCATCTAGAAGGACAGTGCCTATGAGGAAAGGTTCTCTCTGTTCTCAAGAGGTAAAGCAGGATGATTTTGAAGACTTTTAGAGCATTTGAAGGTGTTTACTCTGATGAATCAGCAGCATTCGAGTTCCAACTTGATCAACAAGATGTAACAAGAGACCACAAGATGGAACAGGATGCAGGCATTTTCCTGGCTTGAAGCAATGCCCTTTCACAGTAAATACAAACTCATTCTAAGCCATCCAAATAATTTTATTTTGGCTCATTATGTTGAAGACTTCTGCCTATTTCTCAAAACTGAGTAACTTGGCTTACACAGCATTTCCACTAGAAGCAACATCATGGAAGGGAAACTTCTCTGGCAGCCCAGTTCCTGACATGTGCCTGAAGAGAAAAGTCCCTCCCTTCCTCACACAATGGGCAGTAAAAAGATTCCCACTGTTTGCTCATCAGTTGTTAGGGAAAAATTCCCAAGCTGTTTAGCAAACCATGTGAAGGAACAGTGCCATGGCAATGCCCCTGGTGTGAGCAATCCCTGCCTTGCATTCACCTCCCAGAGAGCAGCTGAGTCACTGCCAGGGCAGCTCCACAGGCTGCACTTGTCCATGCATGAAGGGAAAGCAGCAGCACGTGGAAGGAGGGACCAGACATGGATCTGGGCCTGCACACCTTCCCTGAGCCAATGGCAGATGTCACTGTAACAACAGTCCTTGAACAATCATGTCCCATCCAAAGACAAAGAAACCAAATCTGAAAGTTTCATTGAAACACTTAAAGTCAACAGAACAACCAGTCCTACTCATCTAGCAAATACAGCAACTTGCACATTCCAGAAACTCTGAAGAGGAAAAGGTTTTGGACAAAAAAATTCCTTTTAAAGAAATTCTGCATGAATAGATCTACTTCATATAACCAGGAAAGGAACCTAAGAGAACACACATGTTAGCTGTCACTCCTGAGAAACACTCAGTGATAAACACCCATCATTACATCATTTCTGCTATCTTAAACACTGTCCTGAGACCTCACTGGTCAGAAACCTGCCATAAAGCATAAATGGTTTTCCTTAAGTCTGATTTGGAGGATTTCCTGATGTTGGCATTGAAATTAGACTGGCATCATTCAAAACACAAAGAGACAGAAGATGTATTGCCACATGTTAAACAATTTAACCAAAAATATTTTCTTAATAAAAGTGAAATCATGACATTTGCATCCTTAATGAATGATAAAATCACCACCTTACACAACACTTACTTCAGATGAACTTCAGTGCACTGGCGCTGGGGAGCAAAGCAGGCAATTGCCCAAACCTTTATTTCAATTCCAGTGTGAAATTGTTTATTCCTCATGTCCCAGACACCTTGCACTGGTGTAGCAATTGCTTTATTCTGGAAGTGGAAGGTAAAAATTAAACATTAATGCCAAACTTGACTGATACTGAACAAAAATTAGCTTTGCTTCTACTTCCCTCCAAGTGGCAGGTGATTTATACTCTCAGGTGGCTCTCTGCCCTGTACAAACATCCATCCATCTGATAATAATCATTTTATCACTGTAGCAAGACAGCTTCTTAGCCAGGTGAAAAAAAAACCTCACATTGTTCATTTTTATTGCTGATCATTGCCTTTGGTTGTATTTATCAGCAGCAAATAGAAATTATATATGGAAAGTAAGATTCATGCTTGGTATGGAACATTAACAAGAACCTAAATTTCTACAGTGACTTTACAACTGCTCAGTGAACTTTCCAAGGGAAAGTTAATTTAAGTACTGTGAATATTTTACATCATTAAGTGGAGGCAAATAGTGCTTCAATGTCACTCACATTACTCCAGAAAAAATGTGAACAAGATGAGAAAGGTGATCAGTTATTCAACTTGGACCTGCCCAACATTTTTATTTCTCCCACCAAGCAGATATTACTGGGATGGATTATCTAGAGGACAAGGGGTGTAATAAAGCAGCTAAAGTAATTCTGGTGATGTTAATTACCTTAATAAATACTGATAGATGCTTTAGACAAGTTACCATGATATCTTCCTTCTCACCTAGCAACAACTAAAGCTTCTGGGCATTTTTCAGGACACACACATGAATCTGATAATGGATTTTGCAAAGAGTTGTGTGTGCTGAAGGCAGTGCCTCTCGCCATCTGCCATTAAATTCCCCCAATCTGCTGGTGCCAGAATAGTTCATGAAAGCAGTTCTCTAATCAGGGTCAGGCCTGGGGTACCTTAACCTGCCAGTGAAGGGAAGTTTGAGCTAATTTTTTGCCTGAGCCATCTGAAGAATTTTAGGCAGGAAACTCAAAATCCTCTCCCATTATGGGTTTGGAGGCACCAGTCTTTTGTGCACAGAGACAGAATTATGTTCAGCTGGCAATGCATGATCTGAAGAGATTCATCAAAAGCCTCCACAAATGAAATTATCCCAGCTATTAAAGCTTTCATCTTGCAACAAGTCCCAGTATATAACTGATGGAAAACCCTGTTTCTCAAGCTTTTTAAAAAAGATATCACAGGAGAAAGATTATGTCAGAAGGGCCATCTGAAAAGCCATTGTAAAATAAAAACCTGTGGGTAAATATTCCAAACAGGAAGTGATGGCTCTGGGAAAGGACATGCTGATAGAGATGATACCTCAAGACAACCGCCCTAAACACAATTGCTCCACTCAAAATATTCAAAACCAACCAGAAGTTCAGGAATATTTCAGCATATTTTCAAATACATACAGTGATAATTGAAATGGTCTTTGTTCTTCCCCATACACATTGATTTGAACCACTATTTGCAGGCTGTTTCTTGCAACACACAATGAAAGAGTGTTTGAGGGAGAAAAAAAGCTTTTTTAACTCAGCTTTACTTTCTGAAATAAACAGCAATTAAAAGAGATGCAAATCAGCCAATACCTTTAAGGGCTTTGAGAAGCTAAATTCAAATTCTGAACAATACATCCATGGCAGCCCTTGATTGCACACAACACAATTAATTTGAAATAACCACATTACAGAGGCCATCACAGCTGGTGCTGGAAGCCACCACAGAGTGTACAGAACCCATTGGACATACCCTGCCTCCATAGAGGATTGAGGGAGGCTGAAGGACTCTGCCAGTCACATCTGTCATTTCATCCTTGACCATGATGCCAAACTCTCGGACGTAAGGGTCTGTGTTGAAACTGGCGCTCCGCATCTGAAATGATCAAAATGTACAAAACCAAGCCCATGACCTGTGTGCAGTGCACAAACACATCAGCACCTGCTAAAGGTGAGCAAAATTAAGCCCATTCCTACACCTGCCTCGTGTTTGACACGACACTCACCAATTTGCTGATCTCTTCCTGCCGGTCCGGAGCTGATCTGGCAGTGGCTCGAATCATAGTGGAAGTTTGATTGTCAGTGAGTTTCTTTATGCATCTTTGTCCTGCCACTATGTTGCACACCTGAAATATCCCCACAGAAAGAAAATTAAACACAGTGCAGCTGTTGTTTCATGGCTTTTCTTTCACTGATGCACCACTGAATTTCTCAGCATTCGGCTGCTCAAAAAATGGTTTGCCAAGGGTTTGAACCCTTTTTCTCTCTGACTTCCTTCCCCCAGCCCCAAAATACAGAATTCTCTATGAATTTACTTGCCTCTAGAGGAAGGTATGTGTGTTTCTGCTCCTGTCCAACTTGTAAACATGGAAGGTGAGGGTAGCGTAAAACCAATTTATGCCTGTCCTTAAAATACTGAGCTACAGTGCATTCAACTGTTTGTCCATTCTCCTGCTGAAGTGGGAATCTGTTGGAATGCAAACACGGAAAGCAGCTATTACTTCATGCAAAATACCTCCCCCACAGCTCCTCAGTACATTTCTTGGCACAAGTTAAGCTCATTGAAGGAGGATGAAACAAAGCCCAAACAATTAAAGACCAGATTCAGATACTCATCAGTTATCTTCTTGTAAAAAGCTGGTATCAGTTTTGTTCCTTATATTGCTTCCTTAAAAATGGGAATCACTGTCTCCATATTCAAGTTATCTGCAAATCTCTGGTTGGTAGTTAAAAAGAAACTTTATTTCCAGAGGAAAAAGAGATTGCAAATAAGCAACATCAGGAGGCTGATCCAAACTGGCACTACTTTTCTCTTCCAGTTGTGGGAAACATCAGGCTACAAACAGGACAGACACCCGGTCCTTTCAATTTTAAAGAAATCCATAAATGACAGAAAAAACCCCACCCAACCAAAAAAACCTCAAAGATCTAAAGGAGAGCATTTGGTTCAAATGCCATGATACTCATTATAGTATAAAAATAGAACAAAACAACAGCAAAATTGGGAAAATACTTTGAGGTATATTTAAGGGTATTAACCAAAGAAAGCATCATTTTTCAAAGTAATTTTTCCCACCTCACTAAGTCAGGCAAGGTATTTTTCCAGCCTGATATCAAACACATGCTCAAAAAGCAGAAAAATACTACCTGAGATCAAACATATGCTTAAAAAGAAGGAAAATACTTTACGTTTGGTGACTTGCTGGTCGTCTGGTGACATTGCACACTCTGTACTTCCTTTTCATTTGTCCACAGTGTGTTATCTCCACCTTCAGACCTAAAAATTGGACAGCACAAATGACCATTTCTCCAAAATCAAGGTGTCAGTCCTGAACTGCTACACAAGACCAGTTAAACAGTGTAATAAAGCCATTCTAATTAGCCCCAAAGGGCAGCCCAGACAGAACTCAAACAGCAATTTACAGTCTTAAAATTCAAAACTCCTGAGTTTCAGCCAAAGTTCAACACAGAATTTCAGAGACAAGATGAAATCCCAAAGGCCCCAGAGCTCACAGATGACACTGAGCACATTCTGCAAATTCCAGTGCTGTACCTCTAAGGAAGCCCAGGATGGGGAAAGGACAAAAAGGGCACACAAGCTCCTTGAAACAAAACCCCTTATTTATACTTTCTGTCTAAACATATGGGGTCTGTAAGACCTCCAACTCTTGCAGGCCTGCCTGAGCTAATGAACTGGGGATGTGGGTGGAGTGGAATCCCCAAACAGCCTCTCTAGGAGCTCATGGGAATGAGGCCACAGTGAAGCAATTTGGTGCCTGAATATCATTTCAAACTCAGGATTTATTTATACTTTTCTTGCTAACTTCTACTTGGGCAAAGATAATTTGTTGATTTTTTTGGAAACATGAAAGGAAGATGCAGGATAGATTTATGGATTTATTCTTTTTTAAGTTGCTTGCTTTCTGCCAAGAGTATCAGGAAGGAAGGATCTCCATTTTGCAGAGGAAGCCTTCAGTGAACAAAACCAGTAAGATTTCTTCCTCCTGTTCTCTTTGATTCAGTCACTACAACTAGAATAACTTGTTATTTACTTTCAGGACAGTATATGCAGGACAGATACCTAAGTATGCAGAAACACACTGCTAAATTATTAGTAAAATCTGAAATATGAAAAACCTGGTATCAGTAATTGGAAAAAATTGAGATTGGGTAATCAACAAAACATGAAATCCAAGTCTTTGTAAACATTTAGAAATCATCAGATTAGGAACTGGAATATTTCTGTAATGAAACTGGGATTGGTACTACTGATAGGTTTCAAAAGCAAAAAATATGAAATTTTTGTCTCCCATAAGGAGAAAATATTAGAACACATAGTGGTAACACATCAGACAGAATAAAGCAGCTGTACATAATTTCCTTATTACCTTTTATTTCTTTGGTAAACTTTACCCTTTGGGAATCTGTCAGAGGTTTTTGTTGTTCTTCAATACTTTTGAAGTCCAGAACTTCACAGACAAACTCAATAACTGGCTGTGCTTTGTAAAATGCAGTTGCAGACACTGCAGACAAAAACAGTAATGGTGTGTTACAACAATACAGAGACAAATTACAGAGACAAATTTGTTACAACAAATTCTTAGGAAATCCAAGAAATGGAACTAAGTTTTTGCCTTTCCTTTAAGGAGCAAGAAGAAATAAGAAAATACTTCCTAGTACCTACCATCAATATTTAGCATCATTTTCCATAATGAAGGTCTGACTGACTGATGGAAGCCAAACCAAACTTCTCTGCCCCCACCCAAAGGATTTGAGCACCCTTCTGATGCTGTAAAGAAAGATCTCCCCACAGGAGTATACCTGCAAGAAACCAAATAAATTAACATCAGTAAACTAAAGCAAAAATTGCAATAAAGTCATAACTTGCCATGATACTCATTATAGTATAAAAATAGAACAAAACAACAGCAAAATTGGGAAAATACTTTGAGGTATATTTAAGGGTATTAACCAAAGAAAGCATCATTTTTCAAAGTAATTTTTCCCACCTCACTAAGTCAGGCAAGGTATTTTTCCAGCCTGATATCAAACACATGCTCAAAAAGCAGAAAAATACTACCTGAGATCAAACATATGCTTAAAAAGAAGGAAAATACTTTACGTTTGGTGACTTGCTGGTCGTCTGGTGACATTGCACACTCTGTACTTCCTTTTCATTTGTCCACAGTGTGTTATCTCCACCTTCAGACCTAAAAATTGGACAGCACAAATGACCATTTCTCCAAAATCAAGGTGTCAGTCCTGAACTGCTACACAAGACCAGTTAAACAGTGTAATAAAGCCATTCTAATTAGCCCCAAAGGGCAGCCCAGACAGAACTCAAACAGCAATTTACAGTCTTAAAATTCAAAACTCCTGAGTTTCAGCCAAAGTTCAACACAGAATTTCAGAGACAAGATGAAATCCCAAAGGCCCCAGAGCTCACAGATGACACTGAGCACATTCTGCAAATTCCAGTGCTGTACCTCTAAGGAAGCCCAGGATGGGGAAAGGACAAAAAGGGCACACAAGCTCCTTGAAACAAAACCCCTTATTTATACTTTCTGTCTAAACATATGGGGTCTGTAAGACCTCCAACTCTTGCAGGCCTGCCTGAGCTAATGAACTGGGGATGTGGGTGGAGTGGAATCCCCAAACAGCCTCTCTAGGAGCTCATGGGAATGAGGCCACAGTGAAGCAATTTGGTGCCTGAATATCATTTCAAACTCAGGATTTATTTATACTTTTCTTGCTAACTTCTACTTGGGCAAAGATAATTTGTTGATTTTTTTTGGAAACATGAAAGGAAGATGCAGGATAGATTTATGGATTTATTCTTTTTTAAGTTGCTTGCTTTCTGCCAAGAGTATCAGGAAGGAAGGATCTCCATTTTGCAGAGGAAGCCTTCAGTGAACAAAACCAGTAAGATTTCTTCCTCCTGTTCTCTTTGATTCAGTCACTACAACTAGAATAACTTGTTATTTACTTTCAGGACAGTATATGCAGGACAGATACCTAAGTATGCAGAAACACACTGCTAAATTATTAGTAAAATCTGAAATATGAAAAACCTGGTATCAGTAATTGGAAAAAATTGAGATTGGGTAATCAACAAAACATGAAATCCAAGTCTTTGTAAACATTTAGAAATCATCAGATTAGGAACTGGAATATTTCTGTAATGAAACTGGGATTGGTACTACTGATAGGTTTCAAAAGCAAAAAATATGAAATTTTTGTCTCCCATAAGGAGAAAATATTAGAACACATAGTGGTAACACATCAGACAGAATAAAGCAGCTGTACATAATTTCCTTATTACCTTTTATTTCTTTGGTAAACTTTACCCTTTGGGAATCTGTCAGAGGTTTTTGTTGTTCTTCAATACTTTTGAAGTCCAGAACTTCACAGACAAACTCAATAACTGGCTGTGCTTTGTAAAATGCAGTTGCAGACACTGCAGACAAAAACATTAATGGTGTGTTACAACAATACAGAGGAAATTCTTAGGAAATCCAAGAAATGGAACTAAGTTTTTGCCTTTCCTTTAAGGAGCAAGAAAAAACAAGAAAATACTTCCTAGTACCTACCATCAATATTTAGCATCATTTTCCATAATGAAGGTCTGACTGACTGATGGAAGCCAAACCAAACTTCTCTGCCCCCACCCAAAGGATTTGAGCACCCTTCTGATGCTGTAAAGAAAGATCTCCCCACAGGAGTATACCTGCAAGAAACCAAATAAATTAACATCAGTAAACTAAAGCAAAAATTGCAATAAAGTCATAACTAATGCAAACTCCTTTTCACAAAAGTACAGAAATGTCAGTGTTTAAAATCACCAACAATCTGAGATTCCTGGCAAAACTCAGGTTACACCTCTCAAAACCCAGCTTGTTACAGTAAGAAACTGGCTACTACTCAGGTATAGATTTAATATATCTACTAATTCCAACAAAAAAAAAAAAAGCATTAATAACTTTTTATTTGTATTCTTTTAAAACTTCAGCTGTGCCTCCCTAAGAAAATAATTTCAAGTCTCTGCTATTAAAACACCAAGGTAACAATCTCTCCCCATACTCTGAATTATAGACATGATGTGAGGGTAAGTAAGTGATTTAACAATTCCTGATCCATCTTGCATCTTGATAATTAAGTACTGAAAACTCAATAGCAAACAAATCATATCCAGATCCAATGTGCTCCTCTGAATAAAGGTATCTGATATTCTGGGCTGTTTTCTGTGCTGTAAAACCTGATTAAAGTAATTGTATGGCTTTCTATCCTAAATTTGAGGATAAAGTCAACATAAGACATGTCTATTTTAAGACACTTACATAAATTTAACTCGTATTACCTGTTTAGAGCTACAATATGGGAAAGTTCAGCCCTACTAAACTTTTGTTCTTTCCTTTCTAATTAAATATAATTTGCACAGTGGTCTTAAGTGACTTGTGTCACTGCAGCAGAATTAAGCCCAGTATCTCTGGGGTGTGACTGACAATGCTGTAGGTCCCACTTGAAAAACAAAGAAATAATTTCCAAGTTTTCCTTTCTTATCAAAATATCCACACGGGGTGACATTAATGTCCCCCTAGCACGGCAACCTTTATACAAAATTGGCAATAAACATGCAAGGACACACCGGAACGGGGTAAGAAGTTGTTATAAATCCACCCTTCCACATCTTCAAGCACTTCCCACTTGGAGAGAGCCTCCTTCTCCAAGGCTAGAGAGGGAAGAGGGAGATGGCAGAGCCCCCCTGACCTGGGGGCACACAACCATGGGGCCAGCCTGACATCTCTGGGGCAAAGCTCTTGTGTCCAGGCTGGAGGCTCCTGCTCCCACCAGGCGACCAGGGAAGCACCGATGACCTCTTGCCACTGCCACACAGCCACAGCTGCCACACAGACTGCCCAAAGAGCCACCAAAGCTCCCAAGTCACACCTGAAGCACCTCAAGGGCTTCCCCTCACCTCATGGAAGGCAAGTGCCTCATGACCACATCCAGGGCCTGGATGGTCTCAAACGGGACGCTCGGCAGGCGGCCAGAGAGAGCATCATGCAAAGCCTGCAAGCTCACACAGGACATCCACTTGATGGCCACCTTAAATATTCTGTCCTTTCCTTCTCCTGGCAGCGTGACCTCCAGCTCCACCTGCAACAATGCCAAACAACAAACCAAGATGATTCTTTCCATTGGAAGGGGGGAATCAGAAGGGACAATGGATTCCTCTGAATGACGCCACGAAACAGGGGAGGAGACAAAAAGCAAGGATGAAGCAACACCATGCATTAGCTACAGCCTCTTTTTACAGCTCCATCTTCCCCAAAGGGTATTTCAGAAGCCTGGAGTGCCTCCCAGCTGGCAGCTATCTCCTCTGTGAGGCAACACAGGAATTTGGAGGCGCTCATATCAACGGGGAGGTCTTGGTGAAGATGCCATAACCTGATTTCAGATCCCTGACACGCCCCAGCGCATCGCTGCTCGTGTCAGCTCCTGCATTCCTAAAATAAAGCATGGGTGTCACCACCTGCCAAGATCCATGAATTTCTGGTATTTGCTCTCGAGAGCACCAGAGTGCTTTACATACTGTTGCTGCAGACACAGCACAAACAAGAGAAGAAAGGAGCTTTAAAAGAGAGGAAAAAAATTATCGATCAACCAAACAAAACAGAAAACCCACAAAAGCCACCAAGCCAAAACTGTTACTCTCAAAGTAAGAAAAGAAAGAATAAACTACAACTCCAAGTGCTAGTGATGGTATCAGGTAGGAAACAGGGGCACTTCTTTGCCATGGTATGCCCTACTTTGAATTTTTTTGTCTAAAAAACTGTGGCAAACTACATTGTGGTAAATTACTTCAGCCAATTACTTGTAATTATTTGTAATGCTGATTTCTCCTCTTTCTTAAAACAAAGGAAGTCTGAGCACCAAAGTTCTTAAGCCAACTAAAATTAAGGCTTGTCTGAAATGATCAGGAGGTCTGGGAGTGACTACAAGAAATAACACGATCAGAGTATCCTTTATGCTGGATACAAACAAAAACATTGCATTTTGCTCTGCTAGGGAGCTTGCAATATAAATCTAAGAGGCATTCACTCAAGAGGCAAGCTGTAATTAGCGAAAATAATAGGTGGCTAACAGCAAACTAATATCTGCCAGCATTTGGTCTCTTGCAACAATTTGCTTCTCTGGTCCAAAAATAGGAAGGAAATATAAAACACAAATAAGAAGTCTTCCCATGTGCCCCCAAAAATGAGTTGACCATCTATAGCAGGCACACAGAATTAATATTGCAGCTGAATCTCTCCTCCAGCACAAACATCATTCCCCAGGGAGACTGGAGCACAGGAAGGAGCTGCACAGCTGCAGGAGGGCAATGGGAACTGAGTCTAATCCTGGGGTCACTGCTGTGAGCCTGGCCCAGGTCAGCCCTGCTGAAAGCTGTGCAAAGAAACTTTGCTGTGGTCTTCAGCTCACACAGGCTGCAAGCTTTCCATGAGGTCTTTTTTCCACCACACCATCAAAAAGTCTTCAACTTGCATCTCATTTACAGCAGATGGAAGATGTCTGTCACACCTGACCTGTATTTTCCTTTAAACCTCTCCTCCAACTCAAGTTTCATCATTCCTGCTGGAGCAACCTGGTCCAGTGGAAGGTGTCCCAGCCCATGGCAGGGCTTGGAGCAGGGTGGCCTTACAAGTCCCTACCCAGCCAAACCACTGCATACTTATTCCCAATACTGCTAATACACAACTCATCTGATTATTGAATGCTTTGGTGCCCTTAATCTAACAAAAACAAAAAAAAAAAAGAATTTACTTTTTCTCCTCTCCTGGTATCAATTTACAAAACTCCATCACCACGATGGAATGGGAGATGAAGAGCAACCTGTGCTGCAGTACCCTTGTCCCCAGTGGAAATAAAAGGCCCAGGACTGAAGAATTTCTATTCCAGGTGCCCAACTGCAAATACCAGTAAAAGTTAGCAGAGCTGTGACTGTTGAATTTGGCCCAAAACAGTTTTTGCTGCTGGGTCTAACTCCAAATGAGTTAATTAGGAGTCATTGCTAAAATAGTAGGGTTTAAATAAAACTTTTCTGTTTTCTTTTTCTTTTTCTTTTTTTTTTTTAATTAAATATCTCACCCTATTAAAAAAATCATGAAAATATTTTTAAAAAATGTCCCTAATCCACATACCACATAGAAAAGTTCACATATACTTTTTGGCACTGCTAATCAGAATTTTTCCTCACTCAGTAGTATTTTATTTATCCCACTCTGTACTTCTAAGGACAAATGAACACTCTCATGTTTGGCAAAGTAAGCAAAATATGAAAAAATTAGGACAAAGTAGTTTTAGATGGGAATTTTACTATGACCTTTAATATTAGGGATAAATCCTAAAGCAAAATACAAGATTTGTTTTCTTCTCTATCCCCAAATAAATGTCAGGATGCTACCTGGTCAACCCACTGCTAAATTGCAACAGAGTTGACAATTTTGCAGCTAAGGGAGATAAATGAAAGGGATTTTACTATCAGGATGTGAACAATCATTAAGCCTGTACAAAAATTTCAAAGCTATTCTTAAAAAGAATAGGTCTTGAAGCTGATGTGGTCTGAATGATTCACACAAATCAGCATTTTCACTGTTAAAAAAAAAAAAATTGCACCTGACCATGTGTTTCTGAGGAATTCTTAGTATTTCTTCTTCTCCATAAAATAAATGCAACACCACATGATTATTTTATCATGCTCTGAGCATACAATGTACCTTTTCTCCATTAATCCAAGAGCTTTTCCTTCCCAGGGATTCAGAGGAAAACAGATTAACAACAAACTGTGGATGTAGGCAAGAGCTCTGCTTCTGTCATGTGCAGAGTCTTTAGCAGCATTTCAGAAAGACAAACTCAGAGAGGTAAGTTTGTGGCCACAGACAGGATTAACATTTTCCTTCTGGAAAAGGGAATACCAGCAGGATTTCTGTACCAAACTACTGCTCTGTTCATTCCTAATTACTGTTTTTCTAATAAAAGACTAATGAAGATGTAGGTTAAAATTGATCAGTTGCCTTTGAATCTTGCTAGGTGAGAAAGCTTCCAAGCTCAGGTAAAGTTAAATTCCAGCTTTTAATGTAGAAGGATATTTTAGGAATACACAAGTAAAGCAGGAATTGAATACAAGGCTGCTGTTAGAGGTGACCTGGGCATTTGCTGTGTAGAACCTACAGGGAAAGAGGAGACTTAGTACCTTCCTACCTTGACAGTGTTCTAAACACTTCTTTCTTCTCAATATGTACAAGTGAAAACTAAGAAAATACCATGTTAATATTTACATACTCCATATTTGTTCTAAAAGGTCTAAAAAACTGAAGAAATTAAAGAGTGAAAATAAAGTACACTAAGGGAGAAATGAAATCAGATTTGGTAACCATGAAAGCCAAGCAGGAAAGTATTTATATAGAAGAAAAAGTTGTAAAAGAAGCAGAGCTGCCAGCAAGTACAAAAAAAAACCAAGCCCAGAACAACCTCTACAACAAGAGATGAGGACAGAGTGCATTAATTAACTTAAAAGAGCAACAGGAAGAGAAAAACTTTGGCAATTTGGTGTCAGCCCTCTGGTTAGCATCAGCTTTTCCACTACCAATGCATACTGCAAGTCAATTAAGATCTTCCACAGATTAATCATTGTATGTTCATTAACCTTTTCAATATTATCCTAAATGTAATCAGATGTGCAGGAAACTTGCTACATTTGCTATGTACGGAACAGTAAAAAAAAAAGAAAAACACTAAAGAAAGCTAATCTAATCATGCTGGAGGAAAGTCTTAATACCTACAAGCTTTATAGTGGTTTAAATCATGCTTAAACCAATTTAGCACCATGTAAAAATTTCCTTCATTAAGCTAAATTTCCCCACATCTCATTTAAAAGAGCTTAAGATTTATCTCTGTTAGCTCTTTCCTCCAGGGTAACGTTAATATATGTGGAGCAGAACAAGTGACAAAGTCCTATAACCATGGGAAAGAGGGGAAAAATGGGAGTTTATTCAAAGTTGTGAGCTTAGACATGAGCCACAGATGAAACCACCTGAAACTACCTCGTGCTAAATTCCACTACAAACACCCTCCCCAGCGAGCACCCCCTCCAAATGATGACTGCTCTGGCAGGACTGGGAATGGATGAGATGATTTCTTGGGTGAGATGTTCCTTCTGTGCCTGTGCCTGCTGACCAGACAGGACTCTGCTCCTGATGCTTTGGATTTTAAAGCCCACACACACTGAAATGGTGAAACTGAGGTCTAGGGACAGTGTGGCAGCAGGAAATGCTCCTGATGTCCCAATTCCTTTGTGTCTGTGCAAACCAACAGTGTAACCTACACCTGGGAAAAGGCTGTCTTGGAAAATTTTGTTAACTCTGTCCCACTCAAAATGGTTATCAGAGCAAGGAGGGTCAACTTGCATCTCATGAAGTCTCATTATATCTAAGGTTTAATTTGATCCCTGTTTATCATGTATAAATAATCCATTCCTCATTTACCTTTACTTATTAAATGCAGAACTTCATATTTGTCATAAGGTAAACTCTAATTCACCCATAATTTGTAAAGTATTATAAGGCAACTCCACATATATCCAGAGCTGTTCAAACCCCTAAGAGATTCTCATCAAGTATTCTTCCACCTTTGCAAATACTTTGCAGTCTTGTGTGTCAAACCTGTAGGAACTGGAATATTGTATGTGAAAGCAAGGGAAAAAAAACCACTAAGACTATTAGTGATTCCTTATAGTTTTCCCAGACATTGCTTTATCAGTTAATGAAAAGTAATTAACACTGGAGTAGAGTCTGACCTTTACTGCATGGCATTCACTTAAACAGATTGGGAGAAAATAAAAATTACACATATGAGATTAAGAGCTTGATTCAGGCAGAACTATTAACTACAACACAGTCATCCAATATGAGACAGCAAACAACAGCCTGAACTATTCTATAGCTGCTGAATTTCAGAGGGTCTGAGAGGTTCCCAGTTTCCACATTTCTCTCTATTTCTCTCCCCCCTTATGTTTTATTTTTGTCTAAAACTGTAATCAACTCCCAGGAGATAGAACAGTCCTCCCAGCAGAAGGGGACTACTGCAGTACCAGCAATGACTGTGCCCTCCCTCAGGGGCTCACCTCAACCTAAAAAGGCACAGAAAATTCAATCTGGTGTTAGATCACAGATGCATAGGTTCAATTACTTTCTAGAGCTTGTGTGTTTGCATGTTCCAACAGAGTCCCTTCCACTCCAGCAGTCAATGGGCACAGGAGCAGCCACAACCAGAGCCCAGAGAAGTCACTGCCCCAGCAGGAGCTGGCAAACACAACCCCAGTCCTCTCCAGCTGCCCCAGGACAAAGATTGCATGTCTTAACCTGTGCAGTGTAAATTAATTTGGCTCTCAGTCATCAAGGATTAGGGAGGAGAGGTTCCAATACAGGCAACAGAGAGATGGAGGAGCTTCTTTCAGCTACTGATAGTGAGAATAAGCTTAGAGTGGGCCTTGACGAGATTAGTGAGGTGACACAACAGCTTCTTGCTGCCCAGACCTCCTCTCTCCCACACTCAACTGTGCTCTCCCTTTTTCCCTAGTACCACTCTGGAGACTGTCTGCTGTCTGGGGCAGCTGATCCAGCTCCCTAAAGCAGCAGACACCAGTGGGGAGAAAAAGAGGGAGGAATGAAGGGATATAGAACAGGGAGTGACCACTGGGATAGCAGCAAGCTCACACTTGTGTCCTGGCTAAGCACACCCTGAGCACAGCAACAACAATAGAGACATCTATTGCAGAAACAGAAAATCAGTTTCTATTAGTTATTAGAAATATTCTGAAAACACCACATTAAAATCTCAAGAATTTCTTCTATTTAAAACTTACTTTATCTCTCCCAATGGGAAGTGGCATGGCTGTATAAAGGTTTTTTCTTCCATCAAACACTGGCTTGCGATCCCCAAAAATCTGGGTTTTAAAGTGCTGAACCATATGCTCCACTATTTCTCTGAAAATGCAAAAAGATTAAGTTAATCCAACTTTTTACTTGAATGTTAAGAGGCAGACAAGTACTAACACTAATATTTACCAACAGAGGCATTAGGTAAATGAAAGTGTTCTCCACTCCTGTCTATTAAAGGCAAGATTTGTTTGACTGATCTGAACTGAAAGCAACCTTTTCACAGACTAAACTGTTTTCTTAAAACTGCTATTTTTAGGGTTTTTTTCAGATTTAAACTTTCCTTCCTCTTTTGTGTGACCTACTGGAAGTAGTGAAGTGAAAGCTCATGCTCTCTCAAGCTCAAAACAAGAAGTGCCTGATAGATCTGGGGCTTCAACTCCCCAGTCCTACAGCCCTTTCTGCAGAGGACCCTGGACCAAAACCTCAGCAGCCTGAGAAGCTTTCAAAAATATTATTATCCCAGCTTAGAGCCCCAATGTCAGGACAGCAGTTCATGCCAATAATGATAGCAAAATGTTTTGCAGCTCCCTGAGAAAATTAATTTTTAAATGCATTTTTTTTCATATACACAACAAAACTGGGATCCATCCAACAAAATTGGTTATGTCCACTCAGTGGAGCTGCGAATATTAACAGTATACATCCATTTAAAAGTAGCTGGAATTAGGTTCCATTTTTGTATGAACAGGGAAACCACTCACACAGCCCCTGTCAAACCACAGTGTTTACACACTGGTCATCCAAAGCAGCTCAGCAGTCAGTGAGAGGTCAGCTGGAATAACAACATTTTTTGATGTCAAAGGTCTTTTGGTTCCAATGTCGCAGAGAGACATCCCTCAGTCTACCTGTATTACCCAAAATCCATCAGCAGGCTGCAATCTTAGCACACAGTCAGGGGCAAAAGGGCACTAAGAGGTTGAAGTGGCACAGAAAAGAAACCACTGCTCCTCCAGCACTGCTGACAACCAGCAGTTCACAGATGCTGCAGGTGACTCCTCATGCACCCTGACTTGGCAAGGTAATTAACCCAGCACTCAGGTAGGTATTACTGCAAGTAGTACTGCAAAATTTGAGATAAAACTGAACTCACTCAAGAAAATAACTGAGAGTGCTTTAATTAGCAATTTCTTTGCTGTGTCCCAAGGTTTATCTTAAGATATGGCCACTGAAAGAAACTCTGACCTCCTGCAAAGCATGACTCAAACCTGACCCAGTAATATCTGCCTCAGGTCTGCAGGGTCTGATTGAATAAGTACATAACTGGGAGGGTGGGAGGAAGGAGGTATTTTTCAACCTTGAGTTTGAGCATGGAAACCCCACTCTCCTCCTGAGCAAGTTCTTCCGATTGTAAACTGCTTTATACAAAAAAATGAACACTTCCACTTGATTTATGTTTTCAAGCTTCAAACCACATCCACAATTAGCAATGGTGCTTCTCAGCTGTGGGTGGAGATATTTTTAAGAAAAATAAGTTATTTTCTCCATGCAGAGTTAAAAGAAGAGTTATTTACCACTTCACTAACTTCAGCCCTTTGGGATGACTGTTCTACCAAGCTCATGTAAGCTCACCAAGAACCCTGGGCTGGCAACTGCAGGCAGATTTCACCTTGCACAAATCTTCAAAAATTAAATTGAGAGCACCCAGAGTGTAGAACTAAACTCACACTGCCCAACTCTGCCTGTCCAACCACTCAAACAGATCTGGCCTTTCTGCCACACGTACAGAGTTGTAGACAGACTGTATTAATTCAGGAGCACCTTGTCCCAACTGTGTGTTTTCCAGTCCTGCTCCAGCTCATGTCTCAGTGTGGAACTTGCATCTACACTGGAAACACCCTGCAGTGGGGTCTGCAGGGTCACAGTACAACTGGAATAAAACTGAAGAACAAAGCTGCCACAGATGAGGGAGTAGAGCAAAAAATAAAACCTCCCTCTCTCCTTTCTAGAGGCTATATATCATATAAAGCAATTATAAAAACTACTTACTATATACATGTGAATTATATAACCAAAACACTAGAAACCTGTAAGATAGTTATAAAAAAACATTTCAGAATTGGATTACATGTGCATCCTGCATAATATTACACATATATATATTTGCACACACAGAAATACAGGTATAGACATAGGACCAAAAGGTCACAGCTCACAAAAACCCAGGTGCAGGTGAGTACAGGTACATCTACAGAATAGAGCAGTAAGCACTCAAAAGAAACAAAACACACTTCAGTATGTGAATCCAAATTGTATTCTTACCACACTGCCCTGAGAAACATCCACCACACCACTGCTGAATGCATCTATGGCATCTCTGCTCACTGCAAAAGGCATTTCATCTGTGTAGATCTGTACCTGCTCCTGTCTTTCTAGTGACAAAAACTGCTTTAGGTTTTGTGGCAAGCACCCCCACACTGGACTGTAAGGGAGGTGCTCACACAGAAAACACACATGAGCTGGGCAGCACTTGGCTCCCAAAGGAGCTGCAGAGGAAATCTGGATCAGCCAGCAGCAGCTGGCAGAGCTGGAGTGGTGGCAGGGACAGCAGTTCAGGAAAGAAAAACTCTCACAGCTCCCCTTATGAAAAAAAGTGAGTGCTGCAAGTGTTTTGCAGGGCTCCAATGCAGGAAGAGCATCTCAGTGAAATCAGCTGTTGCCCTTGGGCAAGAAGACAGTTCAGCTTCCTGCACTCAACAACAGTGTTTGCTTTTAAAATTAACCTCAGCTCTTGACTAGCTGAAAAATTAAACTAATAATAGATCACCACAGGAAGTATAAAAAACCAGGGCAGCAAAGCACAGTGATGCTGCTTTGTGAAAACACTATCATTACTAACTCCTCAGTGTAACAATGGAGAATGCCCTCAGGTTTATTAACTCACATTAGGAAAACTATGGCTTTGGGTGGCTTTTTTGACTCCACACTGTTTATTCTCATGACAGCTTGTTCCACCCATGTCACCTTTTTTAACAAGGAAAGGCTTTGCTCTTGAATACATAAACAGGCCATTCCAATCCTCTCCAGTCAAGGTGCAGTTATGATGATGACACTTGTGGTTTCCAGCTGGTGCCAAGTCTCATTCTCAAGTTTCACTTCTGGCAACGCCGCTTCTTTTTCAAGTCAATGAAGTTGCACACTCCAACACAGCACAGGTGCACAGGTGCCAAATGCAAGACCTGGCTGCTTGTTTCCCTGGACAGCTGATCCATGTTTTCACCTTGCTATCTGTTTCAGGAGCATAGTTTTCCCTTATATAGAGTCTACTGATGAAGGATCATTTCTTACCTGCTTTAGTAACTCCATAATCCTCTCCCACAAACAAACGGGTTTTGCCTCCTCTTGTAAGCAGGGAAAGGTGGGAAAACAATCTGGTAACACCAGCTCCCTGCTGAAGGACTTCAGCCAATTACACTCCAATATTTAACCAGGTAATAAGAAGTCATTTTTATCAAGTTGGCTTATACTGACCCAGCTTCAATAGAACTAATACAGCTTATCCATCTGCCACCAGTGGCTTCAATCAGCAGCATCTTAAGATTCTGACACAATCAATCCAAGCAAAGATTTGGAGGGGAAAAAGAGTATATACATATCCTATTAATTGAAGTGATCAGTACAATCACTGATTAAAGCCAGACATCTTTCCAGACATCAGTGAGGGCACCTGGCTCCAGCTTTCTCAAAGTAAAACAAGACTGCAAATAAACTGAGGAAAGGCAAAGTGCAGTGTTACCTGTTAACTCTTCTAGGACATTTTTCTGGCTTTATATCCAATTCATAATGGTAGATATCTATTTTAGGAATGTCCATTTCAAAGAAGTTGGCCTGCAGTTTGATTGTTCTCCCAGAAGTGCCAAAATCTGGTCGAGGAGGAGGTTTAAAGGCATATCCCTGTATTGGTGGTGGCAATGGGGGAGGAGGTGTCAGCACTGCAAAAGAGAGAAAGCACAACTTAGCCATCAGCTGTCTCAAATTTACATTTCAGCAAATTTACAGGCTATTGGACCAGTGAAGCCCTGCACATTTAAACCATGACTCTTTTTAAACAACCAAAATAATTTTTAAAAAAGCCTAAACCCTGCTTTCAGGAGACCATGAATTCTATTTTCTCTTTCTTTCTCATGCTGTTCACAATTTGTTGTATTTCACAGCCCCAGTTACTGAAAAAAAAAACCTTGAAATCAGTTGTATTTTCCTATACAACAAGTCAGCTGGGGAGGAATTTCACAGACCAAGCAGGAAAGCAAGAACCAAGCTCTTTCTTGCAGGGAAGAATCTTAATTTTAAAACAGATCTACCCACATTAATTTGCGCAAACACCTATGAAATGGGGTTTACACCACTTTCCTCCGTGCTGTAGCTCTCTGCAAAATCCTGTATAAGAAATAAACTGTATCCTACTGCTTCCTTCACACAGAAAACAGAGCAAATACTCTACTGTTGCTGTGCTCAATTCTTGAGCTCAAACATCAGCTGTTGCTCAGACAATGTGAAGCAGAAGCACAAAGGCTGCTTGCTGTTGTTTCAATCCAGGAAAGTCCATTAAAAATCCACAGAGAAGTGTGTAAGGGACCAACTTGAGTACTCAAAACTTCTGCAGCCTCAGTGCTCAGGTATGCTGCGTTCTGGAGCAACAACACTTGCAGCAAAATCTTCACATGTGAAATAACTCAGGAGGTTTCTCATTACTTATGTAAGAATCCAGGTGTGGTTTCTTAAGATTATCAAATTCAGTTCTCTGCTAGCACCAGAAACAATTCTCATCCCTTCATTAACAAATCTGTCACCACTTTTCCACCCTGGCTTTCTCTGCTGAAAGCTGTTCCAGAACTGTGATGCTCCAATGCTCAGAAAACGTCCTTCCACTATTATTTTTTTTTTTGGCAGGTTATAGTCAGTGGCTTTCATACTGAGTACTCCTGACTGTACTTCTAGATTTAAAACAAGCACCCATTTAATACTAAATCCAAGGCTATACTCCTTCTGTTAGTCCCTGCTCATAAATCAGGCTTCATCATTCTCATCCTTCCAGTGATTTTTCCTGGAGAAGACTAAGTGATAACCACACTGGTACTTCCACCTCTCAACTGGAAAAGGCAGATTAATGAGCCCTAAACTGCCTTTGCCTGCTGTACCACTGCCTTGTAAAGGCCATCCAGTGACCACTCAGGGCAGGTGCACCCATTTCAGTTGCCTACGATCATCTCCCAATTCCCTATGATCTCCCAGATATATTGTCTTTAATAAATCTACTTTTCTAATCAATATCTATTAACCTGCTGCTTTCTGAATGTTGCTCAGATTCTCCTTTTCCAGACAATGCCTCCTATACCTCTTGATGAAAATTCACATACTTATTCCTAACATTTATGCAATGTTTGCTAATGAAATAGTAACAGCATTCCCAACATTAGTAGCATCAATTTCCCACTTTACCCCTCAATATTTCCCATGGCCAGTTTCCCACTCTTGAATATCTCCCTATTTTTACCACTCTCCTAACAGTCAGCACAAATTTCCCCATGCACCAAATACTTAATAAAATTTGACACTGGGAAAATGATAGACGGGTTTGTTATTTTTTGAAAATTTTCTTTCTGATCTTGTCTCCCAAACATATTCTATGGCATCCACCCTTTTAATTCAGGCTACTGAAATACAATCTCATTTTCCCCCCCTTTTATAAACATTGCCTTCAAAGACTGTGTTCTCCTACACTAACTCAATCAACACATTAAAGTCACTTCTTGCTGAAGATCTGCATTTCTATAACCTAAAACTTCATGTTTCAGTACTTCAGTTTTGCCTTCAATGGCAATACAGCAATTTTTATTTGAGTATTACTCATCCACATTGCTATTGCAGTGTCAACAGCTGCCCTGAGAAATGAAGCCAAACATCACCTTAGCCCTTATCTGTAAGCCAGCCTTGCCACGAGCAGCCCATCTGCATCTGACCTTACCCACCTCCATCCTTCAAGGCAGGACAAAACACAGCTCACTGATTCTGCTGAACCTTTGCCTTTTTATTTTTTCTAAATTCCCACACATCCTGAACTTCTAAGACATCAATTGTCATCCTTTTCCTGCACTTCCAGGCCCTCTGCTGACTTCACGTTTTTCTGATGGTGATTAACTCGCTCAGGTGGCCCTGAAGTCACCACATCCCCTGTTTGGTGTGACAAATTCCCACTGGCTGTGTCATTCAGTGGAAAGAATCCCCTGCTGTGGACAGGACACCTAACAGAGTTATTGGCAGCATTACCACTACAGCTGGGAAGTAGCAGAAAAAATACTCCCACAAATATTTGTACTTGCAATACACCAAAGGTTTCTGTGATCCACCTCCAAATCTGATCAAGAGGATGTGCACAAAGCAGCCACTTCTACTCCTCCAGAATCATGTTTGCCATCACTTCCACCCCCCTACCCCCAAAATTTTAAAATAATCTGTCTCCCACATGCATTTTTAGTCACTCTGCTGCTGAATCCTTTACAGATCATCACTGCACACATTTTTATTTTCATCTTTCTGTAACAGAACGTTCACATTTGAAAATTATGTCCTAGTCATTAACTTTATTCTGTGATTTTTGTGTACTTACATGATTCCCATAACACCACACATTATAAAATATTTTAATTTTCTGACAAGGTTCCTGCATTTTAGCAGTTCTGTTTCTTGTTATCCACTCTGCATTCTACACTGCCTTCCACTATTACCTGGCCAATTGTTATCAATATATTGATTTCCCTTCTCATTCACAATGATTTTTATGCCTGCTAACATTTCTGTATCTACTGCCACATCCTAATTCCACTGCCCTTCTTTTCTGTGCCATATTTCGTACATCATGACTAATTTTCAAAATGACAAAAAATTTTAACTTAAAAATTGGAGGTACAAAGAGAAGCACGATGGAAGGGAACACAGATCCCCACAAGCTCTTTATGCTGCCAAATTAAGAAATTCTGTAATTAAGCAATAAATCCTCCCTCTGTTTTAAAATGGGATTGTTTAATGCTTCACAGGGGCATAGCAAAACCATATCTGCAAGTGTTCAGGGATCAACATGAACACATGTTGTTCAACACTGCATTCCTCCACTGGAGCTTCAGTGACAAACAATGAATAAAAGTGAGAGTTCAGCCCCATTTTTGAGACTGAGATGAAATGCTGAGAGAAGCACAGATTCCTGGGGATAGCTGTGAATGCAGTTTTATAACCTGCATGACTCACAGAGATAAAAAAGCACCAAGCTGCCCAGAAAGCAGGACCACTGCCACCCTCTATTTTCATCCTAAATAGTTTTTTCAATTATTTGGGTTTTACGATCCAATTAAAGAAAGAAAAAAAAGGGGGGGGGGGGGGGGAAGCTATTTCTGGCTCAACTCCCAAGGCAAAACTTATTCAGGGCAGGGTGTTGCTTCAAGGAGATAAGTACTGTTTATTAAACAGCAGCAGTGACCCGATAAGAGCTCAACCTACATTTCTGCCGCCTGAAACAGACACGTATGTGTCAACTACAGCAGCCAGGGATGGGAACTGAGCTCCAGGGAGAAACTCTAAATATTGCAACCACCGAGCTGCATTCACTGTTTGGACTACTGCCTCAAATTCAGAAAGTAAAATCGAACTATCTTGTGTAGAACTTATTGCAGCAAGCAGCTGCGAAGGGCAGAATCACAAAATACTGGATTTGGTGCTGACAGAACAGAGAAATAAGGCTTGAGCTTCTATCAAAGCATGATGGAGACCTTCAGCCTTGATCAGGAGGCACAACTGCTGCATTCAAAGTGGTGCAGCTGCCCCATCTCCCTGTTCAAACACCCCTGCAGAATTCCCCTCACTCACTCACTTTTAAATGTGACAGAAGTTGTATCAATACAAAAATACTTTCCTTAGTGCCAAGGTTCCTACTAGGAAGCTTTTGCACCTGGATGAGGTGTGCTACAGAGGATAGCACTGGACATCTGAGCTGGAAGTGATGCCCTGCCCAGGGAAACCTGCCAAAATTCATGCAGAGACACCTTCATGAACACAGATGCTGCTTCTGGAGACAGTTTTCAAAGCATTGGAAAATCTACATGCATTCCTGGATTTTAGTTTTAAAGTGCTGTTAAGGAAAGAAGGGACTAGAAAAAAGACGAAAGACTAATAAACTGGAGCATCCATGGGGTAAGTATTGGAAGCTCCTCACTCATCTGCCAGATGATAAAATGAATAATGAGGGCATTTCAGCCTTGATATGATGATTGAGACCATCAAGAGCCCCATTTACAAGGTGTGAATTAAGGTGAGCTGAGTGTGGAATAATGAGGTGCCCACATGCTGTCTTTAGGCTTACTTTTATCAGGAAAGAAACCAGACTTCCTATTATAATTCATCCCATTAACATAAACAAAATGTTCATAGCTATCAATCTTAAAAGCAGCAATTTCCACCAAAAGAAAAATCTGGAAAACACAGATCAGAAAAATAACAGCCTTGTGGCAGTTTTATGAAATAAAATTAGCAATCAAGCAAAATTACTCTGTCAAAAGACGGGGGGGAAAGGTGGCAGTAGAGGAAACCTGGATAATCACAGAAATGCTGCGTTAGTAAAAATAATTTTTGCAAATTGAAAACTATTGTGAACACAAGGCTGGCTGCTCTTACTCCTGCACGTTACTGAGGATCAAAATCAGAAACAAAAGTGACTCAGGGAGTGAGCAGGCCAAGACACTCCTAGTCTATAAAAGGTGTGAATGAGCCACACACTTTGACAAGCTTCCACTCTAAAAATCCACACAATTATGCAATGATGGTTTTTCAAGACCATGAGCTCCATTAACCATTTCCCAGACTTGGAGCATTCATTTCTTTTGTCCTTCACCATATTTCAAACCTTAGCTGCTGGTCTGCTTAGCATGCTGGAAGTGCTGCCAGT